CCTTTTTTTCTTTTTTTTTTTTTTTTTTTTGGCAAAAAGGGGTCAAAACTATGGTTAAACTTACTTGTAGTCACCGCTCAGACGGTAGATAGCAGCCTGATCAGGGTGCACGTACTCCTCGTGGACGTGGTCGGGGGCGCGCTTGGGGGGCACGTTGGCGGCCGTGGCTGCGCCGCGGTCGGCCGGCTTCTTCTGGCCGTCAAAGCCGCCAGCGCCGCGGAGAAAGACGGTCATCTCGTTGTAAAAGATTTCCTCGCCCGTCTCGGCAATGGTGGTGGTGGTGCCCGTCTTGACGACGGCGGCCTTGCCCTTGTCCACGACCTCGAGGAGGCGGCCCTTGGACACGAGGTTGGCACTCGTGGGCAAGGGGAATTTGCGAATCTCGAGGTACTGCTCGCCGTGGAGCAGCGTCATGGGGTTGAAGTTGGGGACAATCTTGTCAAAGGAGAAGCCCGTGTCGGCCGACATGGCGGGGATGACACCGTACGTGGGAAGGAGCTGAAAGTTCTCGGCGCCCTCGCTATGATGGCTTGGGTTAGCAGACTGGCTTTGCTAAAAAGATTGGTTACATTTGTCCAGATTCCGAAGCTTACAAGACGTAGTCGAGCTCAGTGGCCTTGGCGCCGACACCAATGTTGTACAGAAGAGTGTCGCGCTCCTCATATCTGAAGGGAGTAGGCGCACCCTCGGTCTTCAAGGCCTCGTCAATGGCAGCGAGGTATTTATTGGCGGGAGCAGCGCTAGCACCCTGCTACTCGCACAAACACGTTAGCATACGCTCCAAAGATTTAACAAGTACAGGATGACGTTGAGATGATCATGATGATAAAATACAGGTGTTGGTTCATTCTAATTCGTATATGGTTCTACATCATGGAAGATTTGGGTCAACTCATACCTTGCTGCTGCCGGCCTTGTTCTCCAAGTTGCCCATAATCTTGCCGAAAGAGTCAGTGGTTCTCTCCGGGTACTCCGCACGGCCGTCCTCAAAGTCGGTAATGGCCTTCCAGTTCTTGACAACCTCTTCGGGAGTCAAGGGCACGTCGACAGGGAAGCCGTGGCCACCGGCCTGCTGCCAGCGGGTCTTTCCGGCCCAGCCGCTGCCGACTTCGTAGAGACCGCCGGTAGGGTCGGGGCAGACGTCACTGCAGAGGGCGAGGATCAGGGGAGCAATGTAGTCGGGCTTGAAGGACTCCAGCATCTCAGGTGTGAAGACAGCCTTGGTCATGGCGGTGCCGGCGTTGGGAGCAATGGTGTTGACAAAGATGTTGTACTTGGCACCCTCGATGGCAAGAGCACGGGAGAAACCCAGGATACCGCATTTCTGTCATTTGTTAGATTGGACTAGCAACTGTGTTCTGGTTTGCAACGGGTACTTACAGCAGCGGAGTAGTTGGCCTGGCCAAAGTTGCCATAGATACCACTGGTGGAGGTGGTGTTGATGACACGGCCGTACTTTTGCTTGAGGAAATAGGGCCAGGCAGCCTTGGTGACCTTGTAGGTACCGCGAAGGTGAACGTTGAAGACGGGGTTCCACAGGCTGTCGTCCATGTTGGAGAAGGCCTTGTCGCGGAGGATGCCAGCGTTGTTGACAACGACGTCGATGCGGCCAAAGGCATCAATGGCAGCCTTGACAACAGTCTCGCCGTCTTCAGCAGAAGCCTTGACACCGACAGCCTTGCCGCCGGCCTTTTTGATTTCGTCGACAACAGTGTCGGGGTTGACGAGATCGTTGATGACGAGGCTGGCGCCAGCCTTGGCGAAAGCGAGGGCGTAGGCGCGGCCAATACCAGCACCAGCACCAGTGATGAGGACCACCTTGCCGTTGTAGTCAATCTTCTCGCCTTGCTCGCTAGGAGGCAGCTGGGCAGATTTCTCGGAGAGCTCAATGAAGTTGTTGGGCTCAGCGGGGAAGGTGGAGTTCTTGGAGAAGTCAACAACCTTGTCCCAGTTCTTGATGATGGCACTGGCGGTGTATGAGGAGTCGGGCTTGAGGAGCAGACCCTCGGCACGCTGCCAGCGGAGCTTGGCGGCAAAGCCGCCGCCGACCTCGTAGATGCCGCCGGTATCGCCAGTGTTGTTCTTGTGGGTGAGGACACCGACGACAGGGACGACGAATTCAGGCTTGAGAGCCTCGAGAAGCTCGGGGGGGAAGACGGTGCTGGTCAGACGCGAGGCGGCTAAGCTCGGTTAGTGGGTTGCTCGGCGAAGAAGCCAGACAGGCACGGGAGAGTCATACCAATGGGAGCAATGACGTTGCACAGAATGTTGTACTTGTAGCCCTCCTTGGCGAGGGTCTCAGTGAAGCCAACCAGAGCAAGCTTGGCAGCCGAGTAGTTGGTCTGACCAAAGTTGCCGTAGAGACCGGCAGCTGAGGCAGTGTTGATGACGCGACCATACTTTTGCTTGCGGAAGTGAGGCCAGGCGGCGCGGGTGACCTTGTAGGCGCCGTAGACGTGGACGCGCATGATGAGGTCCCAGTCCTCATCCTTGAGGTTCTTGAAGCTGGTATCGCGGAGAATACCGGCATTGTTGATGACGACGTCGACGCGGCCAAAGGCCTGGATGGCGGTGTCGATGATTTTGTCACCGAACTCGACTGAGTCGTAGTTGGAGACGGCCTTGCCGCCAGCCTTTTTAATCTCATCGACGACAAGATCGGCAGCCTAAAACATTGCGTTAGTTGTGCATGTCTTTTCGATTTTTCTCCTGACCTAGTGTGCTGGTGGCCGAGTTCACTGAATGTACGGGCGCACCGGCGCACCCGAACCTGGCGATCCAAACACACAAACTCCAAGCTACGTACCTTGGCCGAGTTGCCCTCACCGGTGAAGGAGCCACCGAGATCGTTGACAACGACGCTGGCGCCGCGCGAGGCGTAGAAGAGGGCATAGGCCTTTCCGAGGCCACCACCGGCACCGGTGACGACGACGACCTGGCCGTCGTATCTCAACTGCTCAGACATGGTGTGTGTGTGTGTTGTGTGAATGTGTGGGGGAGAACGGATATGAAGGAGACTGGCTGTCGTGGGCGTAATCAGTCAAGACAAGCCACAAGAGACAACTGGATTGTAGAAAAGAGGTGGATTGGAGGGGTATCAGAGATGAATAAAATCAAGAGGAGGAGTCAAGGAAGAAAAAAAAAGGCGAGCGATCGGGAATGAAAGTTGCAAACGGGGCTTCTTAAGCGTGGGAAGCTTTGGGGGTGCGACAGATGACGGCGCAAAGCACAAAGCCTCGGTTCACAAGGTGCGGGTACCGAGGGGACCAGTCTGTGGAGGCGCTATTCTGTTTTCGGCACAAGTTCATACCAGCGTCGCCCAGCTTCACATGTTTGACGTGTTTGCATGCTGTAGATAGTTGCGGATAGCGCCGGGCCATTGATGAATGGAGTTCGATATATATCCGTACGTTGCTATTCTATTTAAGACGATAGAGATAAAAATTTAAAACTCAAATTTACATTTGCAAGCATTATTCTACTCACCGTTCAACTCGTAACTCTCCAACCCCAGTGACCAGTAGCTCCACTCTCTCCAAGGAAACTCGGGCCAATGAACTTGGTTACATCATCAGCGCATCTGCTGCCGGAATCTACGGGCGGGCACCGTTTGGGGTAGCTTCCTACCTACCTACCTGTAATTATGTGCTAATAACGGCCTGCAATCACTAATACCAGCGGACCAGTAATTGAGGTAGTCGGTTGCTGTTGCTACTATTTGCATGTGCACTCATGACGGCCAGCCAGGAATCAGCAAACACGGCCCTTATTCGCAAATACCGCCATCAGCATAGATATCCTCATCATGTGACTAAATGATTCAATTCCTCGCCTCCCATACTTTACCCCATCATCTCCGTTGTCCGCCATCTCCCTTCTCTTCCCCATGCCAGCCAGTGCCAGTATCCGTACGGAAAAAGACCCATCTCTCTACTCTACCCCACAAAATATCATAAACTCCGTGCGCCGCTTCCTTTTCCCGTTGTTGCTTGCTTTACTCTACCCCAGCCAATCGCCCAACCGCTAACCCCACAAACCCCGGCTACCAAGTCGCCTATATCCAAACACCGTCGTCACCCCACACAGCCAACCCATGGGCATGGGCCGGATGATGTGTCAAACCAACCCCTTCGGAACAATCGCCGTGCGCAAAAAGACAAGGGAGCAAGTTATAGCCCGTAATGCCGACCACCTTTGTGGATGACAAGGTTCCAATCTGCCTGCCGTTTATACTCGAGCATCTCGCCGCGCACCGAGCCCACCATGACCGTGACCAGCAGCATCCCACCCCGCTCGTCGTTGGCCTCAATGGCATCCAGGGCGCGGGCAAGACGACCCTCGTCGCCGCCTTGACAGCCGCTCTCGAAGAACAGGGCGTGCACGCTGTCGTATGCAGCATCGACGACTTTTATCTCTCCCACGACGACCAGATCGCACTCGCTGCGCAGCAGCCCGACAATGCCCTGATCCAGCACCGTGGGGAGCCAGGTACGGCAGCTAATGCAGCCAACGTTCTGGCATACTAGCCATAGAGCATCCCCCGCTAAATGGAAGTAGGCACCCACGACGTAGCCCTCGCCGTCCAGGTCTTTGCGGAGCTCATCAACGGCCAGCCCACCAAACTGCCTCTGTACGACAAGGCCGCTTACCAGGGCCAGGGCGATCGCCTCCCCGAGTCTGCCTGGCTGCCCGTCAATCAGCCCGGTCAGCCTCCTATAGACGTGCTGATGCTCGAAGGTTGGTCAGTTGGCTTCCGGCCCGTCTCAGACGACGAGGTTCGACGGCGCTGGGAGGCCCCCAACCGCACCCTGCACTTGCACAAGCTCGAGCATCTGCTTTTCGTGAACCAGAACCTGCGCGCCTACGATGCGCTAACCAATCTTTTCCACATCTTTATTCACATCGACGCTCAAGACACGCAATACGTCTACGTCTGGCGTGCGGAGCAAGAAGAACATCTCCGACTCCTCAAAGGTGATCCCAACGCCGGCATGACAAGGGACCAGGTCATTCGGTTTGTCGATGGTTACTATCCCGCATATGAATTATATACCGATGGCATTCGTTCGGGGATATTTCCTGACCGCCCTGGTTGCCAGCTCCGTTTGGTGGTAGGACCTGACAGATGTGTGAAGCAGGTGGTTACCATTTAGCAAGTCGCCCTTTATTAGGTAGTGCAGCTGCCCAGCTGCCTTTTTATATCATCATAAATCGTAGCTCATAGCTCGTAACACAGCCAGCGAATCTCGTACAAGCATCCCTCATCAGCTTCGACCTCCGACGACCTTCATGCCATCTTCGCGCATCTTTTGGAGCTTCTCGTCAATCTTATCCGACCGCCGTCTGACTTCTGCCTCGCGCGCAGCCGCCTCCAGCTCGAAGCTTTCCACAATCTGCCGTTTTGATTGCCGAGCCGCCGTCAATCTTCGCATGATGCCCGTGAATTGTTCCGAGAACCAATTTCCAGCCGATTCCCATTCGTCCACTGGCATGTCCCCGAAAAATCTTTGTTGCTCAGCGCTTCCCATGTGTTGCATCTGCGCTAGCCGTTGATTGCCATCGCCGTGATGCCCGGTGTGCTTTCCCGTTGCCATTGCCGTGGCAGGGTCAAAGTCAAATGGTTGCTCCAGAAGCTCTTTATACTCCATTACATTCAGTGCCTGATCGTCATAGTCGAGGCTCTTGCGGCGCCTTTTTCTGTCCTCCAACTGCTTGACTGGAGAGTGTGCATAATGCACTCTGTTTCGTGTCGGCAATTGTTTGCCTCGTGGTGTCGTTTGAAGGTCGTCTTTGCCGCGGGATGATTGGGATGCGACGTCGCTGTCAGTAAAAGCTGGAGGCGTAGCTTCGAATCTCGCTCGACTCTGTGTTCTACCACGGTTTTCCTCTTCCACTTGCGGTGCCGGCATCAATGGCTCGCGTTTGTGAGACTTCTTTTGCTGAGTATTATAGTGATGATGATGGTTATGATTATGCTGCGGCTGCTGGAGTCTCTGGCTGTTTCGCACTGGACTCTGAGGATGTCTCGCATTACTATATGTTAAACCAGCTGCTGAAAATCCATCCTTCATTTCGGCAAAGTTGCTCTTCTGTGGCTGCTCCGCCACAGTCATGCGGAGATCACTTCCAACTGTCACAGTTGGTAAGCTATGGGCCGCAGCGTGAGTAAATCGAGAGGTTTTCTTCGATTCTTGTCTATGAGGTGCCTTTGATACATATTTGACAGGTACTCTTCTGTTGTACTCGCTCGTCGGCGTAGACCGGCCAGATCTCATGAACGCCTCCGAGAGTTCGGACCCAGTAAAGAGATGATCAAGATGCCCGGGGCGGCGGTCGGCGCTCTGGGCTGAAGCGGGGCGCGTGTTCTCGTCAAACACGTCGTCGTGGGCTTTTTCATATTGGTTGTTGGCCTGTATTATATCGAGGCTCTCCAGGTTTTCGGTAAAGGCAGTATCTGGGCTCTGATTGCCACGGCGATTCTTTTGCGGAGAGCCTGGTGCATGATTGCCAGTCTGCTCGACGAATGCCTTTATTCGATTTCGCTCCGTTGCGGAGGGTGGCGGCATATCGAGATCCTTGGCTGGAGGTTTGGTAGGAAAGAAAAGAATTTTGGGCTCAGTGAGCAATTCAAAGGCGACAAAAGAGCTTCATTGAGTGCACAAGCGTGCCAAAGACGCCAACGTCGAGACTTTGAAGTGGTGGACTAGAATTATTGGGAAAGCAGGTGCATTGCAAACGCGCCACAAGGCTAGGCCGACAAGCGTGTCGAGCCACAAGCCACGTTATCAGGTGACGGGCGGCTGGCTACCTGTAAAGGTACATACTGTAGCCCGTTGGCCGTAAATGCCCCACAACCATGCGCTGCTGGCATGGCACCTGTAAGGTAGGTAATAATTGTAATAATGCGACGCTGCCCATTAAACTCGTCGACGCGGGTCGAGCCGTGGAGCCACAAAGCGCGTCTGCAACTACCTCGCACACCGCGTCCACCATAAACACTCACACCAATTTACTTTACCCTTCTTTATTAGCAAGCATTGATTTATGCTCATGCGCGCACAAGGACGCTGCCCTCTCGTGTCGTCCACTGTATACTTTTTACAGCTGCATCTCGTCATCTCTTTACGCATTTACAGGGCACACTCCTCCTTTCCGTTAGCATCTCCATGCATCCAGTGACCGACAAGCGCAGTCTCCCGCAGTCATGTACCTACCGCGCTCTCTGATCTCCAAGCTCTATATTCACCTCCAGAACTCGCGACATCCGCTCTCTCCTCCCGTTCTTATCCTTGTCGCCCTCGAGCCCGACGCCCTCTGTGGCTGCCGCATATTGACTCGTCTACTCAAGCATGACTACATCCCCCACAAGATACAGCCCATCTCGGGCTACGCCGATCTCGAGAAGGCTGGCAAGGAGCTCGTCGTGCCCATGATGCAGTCGCAGGGCGGCGCCGGTGGCCTTGTCGTTTGCCTCGGCGTTGGGGGCATGGTTGATCTGGGTCCGCTCCTTGGTCTCGAGCCTGAGGGCGAGGAGAATCCCTACAGCGGTGTCGAAGTCTGGGTGCTCGATGCTCATCGCCCCTGGAACTTAGCCAATGTTTTTGGCGGCTTTCCGCTGCAGCCCTCATCAGACGAGGCAGTGTCCTACCAGTCGCGCAGCCCGGTGGGCGTATCGGGTGGCGAAATCGGACGCGCCTACAACTCTGAACGGGGCGGGATTGTCGTCTTTGATGACGGCGATATCGAAGAAGAACTCATGACCGAGCGTGACGCGTATCTGGCGCTCGTAGACATGCCGGATATAGACAACGACGGCAACGATGACTACGGATTGAGTGATGACGACGACGAACCTGAGCCTCGCGCGCTCGCCGGACAAAAACGCAAGAGCTTGCCCGACAATGATGAGCTGACCGACGACGACGATGACAGACCCGCCCGACGACGGCGGAGCAACTCGGTATGTAGCCGCGTCATGACATGGAGGTTCCGACTAACATCACATAGTCGAGCTCAATACCCGTTTCTCCGAGACGCCCAACACAACGAGGACTGGTCTCGCTCCGAGATCCGGAACTGGGACTTTCTAGCGATCCGCTCGAGCCTCCATCTGGCGCACAGGAGCCTCCCGCACCTTCGGCCCGCGCCCTTCGACGAAAATTGTTGCGAATGAGAAGTGAAAAGGAGTCTGTGCTACAACAATACTACAAGATGGGATCATCGTTTTCAGAGCCAGTCTCCTCCATGATGTATTCTTTGGCCTCGGAGCTCGGTCGCGAAGACAACGACTTGCTGTGGCTTACGATTGTTGGTGTGACGTCAATGGAGCTGTACGGGAAGTCATCGGCGGGTGTCGCCGTCTCGATCCGAGCCTCGGACAAGAACGTACCAACAGGGTGGATGGGAGTGCGTGGCGCGCGCCTCCGCCAGCTGCTACGAGACGAAGTTAGGCGATTAAACCCCCCAGAGATCACCAATGGACGAGTTGCCTCGGAGAACACGGGCGTCATTCCGACGACAGCGCGCAACCCTGAAGACACGGGCATTAGGCTATCGCCAGAGCCGCGCTTTCTTCTCATCCGCCATTGGAGCCTATACGACAGCATGCTACACTCGCCATACTTGTTCTCGCGTTTAAAGACGTGGAGCGAGACTGGAATCAAGCGCCTGCACAAACTACTGGCCAAGATGGGCGTTAGTCTTGCGCAGTGTAAACAAAGCTACACGCACATGGACATGATGTTAAAAAGAGAGCTGCGAGCCAAGCTGCTGTACTATGGCAAATATTACAATTTGGATGAGATGGTGCCTGCTGTGGACACGGACGGCAAGGACCGAGCAGGTGCCAAAGACGGATGGGGTTTCGTGCGGAGCTGGGGCTGGCGTGCAACGTTGTCTGCGCAAGATGTTGGTGTGGTCATTGGTGCCCTGCTCGAGGTCGGGAAGCACGCGCAGGCTTTGGATCTAGCATTTGCCGCTAGTCAGGCCAGTCGTGAGATTGAAGATGATGCCGAAGTAGCAGCCCAAGGCGAAGAGTGGGTTGGGCGCTTCTGGGAAGCCTATGATGCGCTGGAGAACATTGACGCTCTCAAAGCGGGCCTCCCAACGGCCCAGTTTCTGCATCGAGCCATCTACAGAACCGGCACATCACTGATCAACAAGAAACAAATCAAGCATTTGCGGGCGTTCCGACTCTGCGTTGTCAAGGATGGGCCGGATGTCTCGTTATTTACCCATCCTTCGGCGCTGACAAAGCTCTCGCTGTGGATTGGCGAGGCCCTTGGCGAGCAAGACAGAGAAGCACATGGAAAACTGTCGCACGGCGGGCGTGGAACACCTTTGGTGGTGGCCAGCCTGCATGAGAAGCGCGGAGTATACATTGTAGTCGGTACAGGCGGTGGCGGCGGACCCGACTCGACCTTTATGGACAAGGAAGCGGCAAAGCAGCGACAGCGGACTAAAGAGGCCCGGGCAAAGAAGAAGGAGGAATCTCGTTTGGCAAAGGAGCGCGTCAGGGCGCAAAAGCTAGCAGCCAGGGAAGCCGCGGGAGAAGAGGTGGATGAGCTGGAAACTGAGTCAGAGGGCTCGGATGAGGAGGATGAGGATGATTCAGACTCGGATCAAGAAGAACACGACAAGGGTTACGGGCTGAATCGATTCGGCAGCGCGTTTCAAGAAGTGGTTGCCGAGACGAGTGCACGAGTGAGAATCGACAGTTTTGAGCATTGCGTGGTTGAAGTCAAGAAGGAAGACTTGGGTGGCTTCCTGGAGAGCCTGAGCATGAAGGCAGTTGTTGGATAAAGTAAAGAGTACGGGCACAGCGATTGATTTTTTTTCGGGGGTTGGGACGAGAGCATTCACCATTGCTCTTTGCATTGTTTCCCGAGACCTTTGATTTTTTTTTTTTTCCGTATTACAACATCGTCAACGGCGCGCGATGGGAAGGATTTTGCATTTGTGTATTGACGGCTTCAATGACATGATGATTGGCAGGCAGGGACTACGGAGTCACCGGGGTTTAGTTGCCATGTTGGAGCATAAGCAGTAGTATCGGTATTGATATAGAGGACAATATAAATTCTGGGCATTTGCATGATAAAAAATGGCTTTGGTCAACGACCGGAAATGGAACCCAAAATAGCGACAGCGGGACTTGTCATGCGTGTAATGACGAGCTCCTGCTTGACATGACTTCCATCGCAATACAAGTCTTAAGCCTTGTATTTCTCTTTGAAAGCCTCAACTGCGGCTTCTACTTTGGCTTTATCATGGAGAGAGGGCTTAATCTCTTGCTTGCTGATGGATTCCTTCTCCGAACTGGCGATGGCCGAAGATCTTTTGGAGTCTTGGATGACAACGGAATCGTGGTCCTCGGACAACGTGACTTCAAAGGTGCCCGAGTTGCCGTGAATGTCGTAGACGATGAACCAAGTACTAAATGTCCATTGTGTGCCCCAAATCTCACCAAGGCCAGGAAAAAAGTGAAACTTCAAGCGCGTGAGACAGAGCGCCAGTTCTCGTTGATCGACCTCTATGTTGGCGTAGGCGTTGATCGTGATGTTGCCCGATTGCCTGTAAAGTCCAGCCTTTGTCGGAGATTTGGTGCCATGCTCCCAGATAAAGAATACGTTTAAATCAGCGCTATGAGACACTTGGTAGTCATGTTGCAGCTGCTTTGCAACAGCACCGACGAGGCAAGGATCGTTGTCATGCCCATTGTCGTGTCCGGTGCGGTCATACCAATGGAGTTCGACTTTATGGAGAGGAAACTGCTTTAATGAAAAATAATAGTTGTCTTGGGACCAATATGGGTCATATGAGCCTTCCCAGTCGCAATGATACGTTCCTTGCTTGATGAATTTTTTTTCGACTGAGGTGCTCTCCTTGTCTGTGGTGTAGACGATCGGCGTGAGACCCTCGAGTGTGATGCGAGACTCAAAACCAGCCATTGTGGTATTGACCAAAGTGCCATCAGGTTGGTAGATGGATGCCGCAATGTCTTTGTTCTCTTGCGCTGTAGTAGTGACCCAATATTTCTGAGTCTGAGAGCCTCTGGCCAGCTGAGGCAAATCCGTAGCAGCTCCGACAACTCTGCTAGATGGCAAAGGCAGTGCGTATTCACCGGGTTTTTCGGAATACTGCCAGTCCCCGCGCATGTCCCCATCTCTGTCCAGGCCGTTATAGGGATCGTTGTAGTCAACCAGAGCAATTTCGCTGAGCTCGTCAGGACTCAAGTTGTAAAGCTGATTGGTACCTTTGATTTGAACAGAGATCCAAACGTAGACAAGAACCTGCATTCTGCCATTTGCATATAGTTGAGCGGATTGCTGATATGCATTGCTTGTCCCAATGGACAAGTCAAGCACTTCCCAATCAACCATGATGAAAAGAGTGTTGAGTAGTTTGGTCTCGTAGGGTGTGGGTTAATAACTAAGAGTGAAAAATGTTTTCAATAGAATTGATGATGAAGCTTCTGAGATTTCTACTGCCCGTCTGAGCCTTGAGGATGGTATATATACTTTTACTTATGCCTCCAATGGCAATGAGAACTGCACGAGTTTGCCAAGTTCATTGACGGCATTCGTGGAGCGGCATTCACCAACGCACCACCGCAGAAGCATCCTTCCATGCACTTGGGAGGTCTTCTTAATGCTCAACTATTCGACGGTTTCGGTCTTTATATTCGAAGCTGAGTTCAAAAACACCCGTGAAGAGACTCGAGCATCCCGGTCTTTGGCAAGCCCTCGATGGTGAATATTGGAATTGATGCATCAGGTTAGCCAGCTGAATATGAATTCAGCCACTTGTGCGCAAGTGAGCCCGAGTTAGAACGTTGTAAAGTTGATGAGCGTGGCTGACCGAGTGTAGCCGCGCATAAACGGGCCGACGCATGTGCGCGCGGGGTCTACCAAATATGTGGCTGACATTTATTGGGCAAATGGAACAAATAAAATCAACTCCCGAAAGAAAGTGGCTGCTCGAAAACGACTTTATATCAATTCCCGAGTGAAAGAGGCTGCCTGAAAACGCCGTGATGTCAACTCCCGAACGCAAGTGGCTGCCTGAAAGCGAGGTGCGGTTGCAGTGCAGTACGGTAGGTAAGAGCCTGATTTGGACATATGTATGCGCACGCCAGTAAAAAAGTAAATGGACGGTACAGTCGCTGGCCCTCCTCCAACACCACTAATACAGAGTCCAAGTTGTATTGCATTTGGACATGCCGCAGTAGTACATGATGGCGGGATATATATTGTGATAATTCGTCTGCACCCTTAAAAAGTATTGATGACTTGAACAGCATCAAGGGCCATAATAAAGGGCTATTTCGCAAACAAAAGAAATTTACAAACGGTGCACACAGTACAAACGGTGCAAACGGTGCAAACGGTGCAAACAAAGCACGTGCCTGGCTGAACAAAATGTCCTCGCTCTACTCACAAAGCTTCAACTTCGACAGCTTCCTTCAGAAAGGAGTTGACCCTCGTACTGGCCAGTACACCGCAACGGTTATTGTTTATGAAACACCTTCAGCCGCGCGCAACTGCCCTGCCTTGCAACTCTGTCTGACTTTCAACCCCCTAAACACTCAAGACGTGGGTTTCGGCATCGGCTGGTCATTCAATCTGTCATCCTACCAGCATGCTCAAGTGTCGGCAAAAACACTATCTCTCTCAACTGGTGAGAGCTTTCAGGTCAAGGAAACCCCTAGTTCTATCCGCATCACAGATCAAAAGTTGAAGAGCTTCCAATTCAAAAAGGTCCAAGGAGCATCGGACCAGTATCTGGTTGTTCACAAGTCTGGCCTGGTCGAATTGCTCTCTAATCAAAATGGCGGATTCAATGTTTCTGTTCCAGTGAAGCTATGGGAGCCCAACGGCCGTATGCTCACGCTCGGCTGGGCTCGTTCTGGTCGGCAGCCTCGTCTGGAGAGCATATATGACGGTGCTCAGGTCCTCCTCAAGATCAACTATGCTGAACACGATGCCGACACGACAGTTGTGCGAGCTCCAGGCACCAAAGAAGAAAGCACCATCACTGCTAGTCGCCGAAACGGCCGATTTGCTAAAGTCCAGCTGCCACTTGAGAGCACGCCGCCCTGGAGCTTTGAGTATGACACCATCAATCAAGTCACATGTTTAAAGAAAATTGTCAGCCCCTGTGGTCTTGAGGAGGAAGTCTCATACAGTGACAAGGATAGAGGACATGCTTTACCACCCGGTGCACCACTCAAGTCAATCCCGTACGTCACCTGCCATGTGCTCTGGCCGGGACAGCAGCAGCCTGAAATCAAAACCAACTACAATTACACGGCGACTAATTTCCTCGGATTCGGAGCTCTCCATAACTGGATGGACGGCGAGGATAACTTATACCGTGTGCGCCAGGATTACGAATACTCGTGTACTGTTCAGATGGACGGCGGAGCTGAAACCAAGTACACATACAACAAGTTTCATTTACTTGTTCGCCATCAGAGGCGCCAAGGCACCAAGCAGGTTACCCAGTCAATTGCATACTATATGTATGCTACCAGTACTTTTGAAAATCAGCCGGCGCAATATCAGCTGCCCAAGAGCGTGGAAACCATTTATGAAGATACTGCGACCAAAGCATCTCGTACCGAAACTACTCACCATGTCTTTGACGAATGGGGCAACCCAATTGAAGACACTCAGTCTAATGGTGTACGCACGGGTCGTGAATTTTACCCATCAGTGGGTGCAACAGGATGCCCTGCTGATCCTCATGGCTTCCAGCGATACATCAAGTGCGAGACTGTGACTCCAGCACCAAGCTCGTACCAAACTCCCATCAGGAGCAAGCAATACATTTACAGTCAACACAGAACTGCGTCTACATCTTATACGAGCTACTTCGTAGCCGTTGATAAGGTGCAGGCTCTTGAGGATGGTAAAGAGTTCTCTACTTGGGAATATTCCTATGTCGATCAGCCTGACAGCCGCGATCACGGTCGTCGTCAGCAGCAAATTATCATGATTTCGGAAAAATGCCCTACGACGACTACTTGGAAGTACGACTATCCTGACTCTGATAGTATGAGACGTACAGTTACTACTAAAAGCTACGACGGATACACAGCCGAAGCAATAACACACTTGTCGACGCTATCTGGTCTTGCTTATACCCACAAGAGTATTGCAGGTGTTCAAACAGACTTCGAGTATGATAAGATTGGCCAGCTTACCAAGAAGGTTGTATCTCCCAATACATCATATGAAGCAAGTGAAGAGCACCGTTACAGCGTTCTGCAAGGCGACATTGGATATTGCGTGATGACAAAGGACGCCAAGGGCGTGCAGGCACGCTACATTACAGATGGCTTGGAGCGCATATGCAAGGTCGATAAGCAGGATGCCGATGCCGACGGCAACGTCTCCAACAGCACTTTCCGTACCGTGCAGGAGCGCAGCTATAACAAAATTGGCCAATGTGTCGCACTGGTGGACAGCGATTGGCTGCGAACCAAAGGCGAGCCAACCGAGCAGCAGCTACGTCGATCACTGGAGTACGATGACTGGGGCCAGACATGTCAAGTACATGCAAGTGATGGAATTACTACTTTATCCTCGACGGATCCAATTGGTCAAACACGTATCGAAGGAATTGAGGGTCAATGCAAAACTGAATTAAAGTTCAATAACTTCGGGCTCCCGATCGAGACTGTTATCTACAAGATTGACGGATCAGTCTATGCTACAACAGCATATGACTATGACGGGTTGGGTCGCTTGGTCTTACAAAAAGATCCCCTGAACCGAGCTACGCAGTACAAGTTGGATTGCTTCGATCGTGTCACTCGAACAATTCGGCAGGACGGCCAGGCCGTCAATACTACGTATGCAGTCCATAGCTCATCCATTTTGCCAACGTCTATAGACACAAACAATCATTGCGTTGGCAAGCAGTTATTCGACGGGTTAGGGCGGATCACTCTACATGAAGTTGGTGGACGAGCCACGGCCCAGTCGTTCGAAGGCTGCGCACCGGCGCCGTCGATAACTACCACGCCAAAGGGAGACGTGCGTCGACTTTCCCACGAGCCACAACTGGACTACGCGCTCATGGCTCTCACGAGTAAGGATGTCGCGGAAACTATCCAGTATGACGCTCAAACAGTCGCACCTGTGAAGCTCAAGAACCTTTACAGTACGACAGATCTCACGCATTTGCCCTCCGGCTTGGTCGATAAAGCGAGCCTTGACATTGAGAATGGGCCGATGTTTTCTACCGAGTCGTTCTATTCAATGGCTGGCAAAATGCAAGGGTACACCAATCCCCATGGAGAGAAACTCGAGATCCAATACAACGCCGAAGGACAACCGCGGCAATTGACCCAGGGCCCATTGTCCATTACTTTTGCCTATGACCAAGTACAACGCTTGGTAGATAGTTGCGTACAGGATGGGGCCAACAATAGCTTGACCACGCATCTCACTTATGATGATTTCAGCCGTGAGATAGGTAGGAGCGTCACAAAAGGACGCAAGCTACTTCATCAACTCACCCAGACCTACCTTCAGACAGGCCATCTTGCGATGCGCCGTCTAGAAGACGGCAACGGTGAGTTGCTACGAGAAGAAACGTTCACATACGACGTATTGGATCGCTTAGTGGGCTTTGAATGTCAGGGTTGCCAATCACCCACCGACGAGCTAGGCAACCAGATTCGGCAGCAGTCTTTCACCTTTGGGCCCTTTCATAATCTGGTTGACATTACTACTGTTTTCCACAATGGTGATAAGAATGTGAAAAGATACACATATGCCGATCAAGACCCTGGACAAGTCATAGGCATTACAAATTCACACCACGACTATCCCGCCAAAATGGATCTCAAGTATGACCAGAACGGTTGTTTGGTAAGAGATGAAAAGGGAAACAAGCTCGAATACGACTCCACGGGTCACCTCGTTACTCTACGCGATTCGCAGTCCCGGATCCTGAGCGAGTACCGCTATGATGCATCAGGGAAATTGGTTTGCCAGCTAGTACCGGGTGAGGACGAGTATTATCTCCATTACCGTGGAAACACCCTGGTAGGCTATACATCGGGCAATGATCGCGTAAGTTTTGTTTCGGATGGTACATGTTACTGGGGACAAACTGTTCAGAAGGAAACGAGAAACACCCAGACTCAGTTATGGGCGTCAGACATGCATGCTTCTGTCACTGCTTGGATCAACAGTGACGAGTCCGATTCACACTACAGCCGGCAGTACACCCCGTACGGCTACAATGCGCAAGATGCGGACAAAGGGCCATCAATCGGCTTTAATGGCCAATGGTGCGACCCCGTTACCGGGTGGTATCATCTCGGCAACGGCTACCGTGTGTATAACCCTGTGCTGATGCACTTTCATTCCCCGGATTCGTGGAGCCCGTTCCAATCTGGTGAGATCAATTCTTACGGGTACTGCCTTGGTGATCCAATCAACAATATCGATCCAAGCGGTCACTTCAGCCTCTTTGGCATCAAGTTCACTTGGCGCGACTTGGCAATTGCTGTTGTCGGCATAGCAGTCGGTATTGCAGTCGGCGTGCTCACTGGAGGTGCCGGGTTTGCAATCGAAGCGGGACTCGGCATAGCTTGCGGTCTGGCCTCTGATGTCATGACGGGCGCCGTGTATGACCAAGCAACAGGACATACTCCGACTTGGAAGAGCGTCGGCACTGATGCCCTGTACTCGTTGATTGGCGGTGTCGTTGGCGAAGGCGCGGGCAAAGTGCTCGGTGCAGCAGGCAAGTCAGCGGTCCGAGGCCTCAAGGGAATGCGTGAGGGCGCTGGTGTGGTGAAGGGTATGCGCGAGAGCCTTGGTGCGGTGACGGAGATGCAGGAAATCAGGCACGAGTTCACTGGCGAGGCCGAGCGTCTGCTTCTCGAAGGCAAGGGAGAAAGGCGAGCCGCCAAGTTGGCTGCGCAAAGCGCTAGCACGTCAGGTACGTCGACTGAAACTGTAACGAGATACACGGTAGATGCAACGCACGAGGCGAGAAGTTTTCGGATAGATGAAGCCGGACATGCAGACGCCGCCGCAAATTACCAACTGTTCCGACGCGCCATTGAAGAGGAAGGAGTGCGGCCCGACGTTGCCGTGACGAGGATGAACAGAGCACACCATTTGAAGAAACTAGGTGAACCCAGGAGGCTCGGCAAGGAGGGCCCAATTGTCCAGACGTGGCAATTTCAATTAAATCACTTCCTGCGCGCGACGTACCATCTTCCACTTAGGAATCCTGGACGGATAGTATATATTGGGGACGTTGGAATGCATACTTGAAAGTAGGTAGTGCTGTCATTTGGGCATTTTCCACCATCGTAAATACATTACCTGCGTCTTAATGAAAGCTTCTTTGCCCTACTAGCAGTGATTTGTTGAAAAGAGATAAAAGTGCCATGCGGAGAGATGCTGTGACCGAGTGAGAATCGCCCCTCGCTCAGCGAAATAGACGGAGGGGACTTTCTAACGTTAGATATAAGGGTGCAGGTAGAGTGGCGAACCGTTGGCAAGGGGTCGTAGGTGCTAAGGAAGAATGGTATAAAGTAGCACTATAAAGAAAGATGGGTTTAAAAAAAGAACTAGATTGGCCTTTGATTTTATGTTTCAATTTCTGTTTCCTTTTATACCTTTTTTTTTTTTTTTTTTACGAATGTAGATGACGTTCTGCCTGTTCCGAGTTTTATATTTAGTCTGCTGTGCCGCCGTCCAAGCATGCAGAGGTAACTTGCGGTGGGGGTTGGTCGGCGTACCTAACCAAAAACTTCACAGGGACTGACGGTCTCTGCAGTTTGCACATCCAGCAGCGCTTCACTTCTCATCTCGCCACCAGCCTACAGCAAGTAAACAGCCTTAAGCCATCATCATGGTACGCATAAAGGAGAGATATCTTCTCGTCAATATACTCTATCCACCCGAGTCCGCCAACAAGCACAAATCTGCCGTGCCGTCCTTTGTGGTGCAGCATCAACCCACAGTGGAAAACCTTACGGCCCAGCTTCTTTTAAAGGCCATTCGCAACGACGTCTCTCTGCTATTTGGTGACCATGGCTTAGGGGCTCTTGGCGGAAACTTGGCAGGTATGTATATAAAGATGCCCGCGGCACCGCAGTCCATCATCTCTGATAACCCTACTAGTCAAATACTTGTCCCTGGCAACGTCAACCATCATTCTAAAGTGCCACAGGGAGCACTACCGCATGCTTTGGGCCGCGCTCACCCTCATGGACCATGTCCCGGTCAAGGATGGACGCCCATGTATTTTTCGCGTCGTGCGAGTGAGCGGCACCATACGGAAGGCTGAGGAGGAAGCAATTCGTCAAGCACGGGCTCTGATACTAGCAGCCAAAGACGGCAATGCCCTCAGTGCATTTTTACCTGTCGAGTCAGTCGACAACCACACAGAAGATGACGAAGAGGTTCAAGTAGAGGATGAAGATGTTGAAATGGTCAGCGACGACGGCTGACGGGGTATCATTGTTTTCTGATTACTTTGATGCCACTATCAGCTGGAACCGACATATCCCCAAAGTCTGGGTCCATCTCGGGGTTGCTTGGCGCCGACGGTTGCGGCGGCTGTACATCCATGTCCATGGCCTGCTGTTCCTGCTCGCGGCGGGCCTCCTCCTCCGCCTCCTGTTCCATCCGGTCATACTCATCCTTCTGATCTATCCATCGCTCCTGGATATCCTGAACGTCCATCAAGGATGCCTCATTTCGCATGGTCACTGCCCACACGGTGTCGTTTGCACCCTCGGCGCTGCCAAAGACGTATCCGCCGGCTCTATCTATTATCCGAAGAAGATGTGTCACGCTTTTCTTATTTTCAATTGCCAGCACTTCGTACCGCACCAGGCCATAGCTTTCAATCATGTTTGCAATGGCCTCGTTCAATTTTCCAAACTTGTCGCTTCGCAGCGCGGGAGATTCGGCCTCGAGATAGGGAGTCAGATACGTGAGGTCATCGACGTCTGTATAGTATTCGAGGTTGAAAGGGAGTTCGTCATAGGATGCGACTTTGTCAATCTTGGAGAGCACGTTGACGTGTGGCATATCCATTTGGATCATGGCGCGAAGGGAAAGCAGAACATTGGACACGTATAGGGAGGGTTGGCTGAGGCAGATGGAATCTGAGAGGTGAACAGCAACAAACTTGACAGCATTAGCGCAAGCATCATCGAATGAATGTCAACGTAACTTACTCGGAAGCCGTTTTTCTGTAATTTGTAGATTATGTTTCGTAAGGAGTTGTGATGTGTATATAGCTCGACTTGTCCAGGGCAGTCAAATAAAATATAATCCTGATCAAATTCTTTCAGGCCCTCTTCCAGCCATTCGTAGTTGTGCTCCAGCTCTTCGAGGGCGTAGAGAATGCCGCCGTTGGGACCGAGTCTGTCCTCTCGCATAATGTCTTCGAGCTTGACGAGGCTCCGGATATCGAGAGCGCACGGGTAATTTGTATGGTCATTTGCTGGGTCAAGATTCACGACGGAGCATGCGCGGCCGATTGCGCCCATGAATTGGTGCACTGTCGCCGAGTTAGTACCGCCATGGTGATGTGGCTCGGTGGTGGTGGGTGCGACGTACTGCCATCGCAGTAGGTGCTCTTGCCCGAGCCTGGGCTACCTAGCACGAGCTGAGCAAAGGGCATCGGGATGCCTCGGATATTTTGACGTCTGCTTCTTTTTCGGGCTGTTCTCAAGGCTCGCGATGCCTTGTACTGTGAGCTGTTAAAAGGTCAAACGGTCGAGCTTGCTTTTATCTTAGGTAGGATTACAGCGTGTGCCCCTCCAAAAGCCGCCCCAACTTTTCGGTGGGCCTTGCACTGTAGCGGCGAAACCTCGGGCGCTGGAATTCGCTAACTAAAAATTCTAGCTGCCAAAAGCTCCTCCCAAACTAATTTTCCCTTACCCACGCAAAAATCTCCTCAGCTCTCCTTCCGCCCGCAGCTTTCTCGCTGACTGGCACGCCAACCTGCATAATGCCCTGCCACCGCGTCAGAGCTCATAACCAGTCATGGCGTCCGACCTGTCAACTGCTGCCACTCTGGCGGGCAGTCTCACTGTCGACATACCCGTCATGAGCACTTCGGCCGTTGAGGAGGTCTCCAAGGCAAGCTTCGGCTGGTTCGGCATCCTTGGCTGGATCGTCCTCAGCTTGATCAACCTCGTGTCCATGGCCCTCTACTGGTCCGCCCGCATCGTCACCATCACCATTCCTAGCCTACTCTACGCGCTGCTTTCTGCAAGCTGGACGGTGACGATGAACGCTACTACGCTGTACGTATTGAACACCTCTCGACTTGTGCCAGTCCTAACACCTTGCAGCATCTTCATAATGGTAGCAATTGCTTCAGCAGTTAGCTGGGTAGTGCGATATCGCATCCTCAACATGTACTCGCGACTACCACCCGAGCCTCAACGCAAGGAGCCAGACATCGATCTCTTCCCCGATACCCACGAGGAAGGCATGAAATCGGGGCTCTCCAATTATCTAGACGAGTTTCTTAGCGCCATCAAGATATTTGGCTATCTCGAGAGACCCGTTTTTCACGAATTGACCCGGAGCATGCAAACCAGGAAACTGATTGCAGGAGAGACGATCAACTTGGAAGAAGAAAAAGGCTTCTGCATTGTTGTCGATGGTCTGGTGGATATTTTCGTCAAGACCGGCCAAGATGCCCGCCATTCGGGCTACTCGTCAGCCGATCAGTCTTGCCATGCCTCCTCCGAAGACGAAGAATACATGGCCCGGGGCCAGCAACAGTATCATCTTCTGACGGAAGTCAAGAATGGCGCGCCCATGTCTTCTTTATTTTCCATCATGTCCCTCTTTACTGAGGATGTCAAGTTGACAGTCGTGGATGAGGAAGAAGGCGCTGAAACCGGCCCCTTCGTGCCAGCGTCAATGCCAAGTACTCCAAAGCTCAATGCTAGGTCTGGCAGGCATATTATGGTGCCCGACCGCGACGCACCGCCGCAGGCGTCGTACGGAGTTACAGGCCCCAATATACCCCCCATGTCTCTCAACGATGCAGTGCCTACCATTCACCAACCACCGCAGAGACCTAAGGCACTGAAGCGACGTGTCTCGCAGTCTGTTCATCCGGACATCATTGCCCGAGCGACGGTGGACACCACAATTGCAATCATACCTGCTCAGGCATTCCGAAGACTCATCAAGATTTATCCCAAAGCCACAGCCCACATCGTCCAGGTTATTCTTTCACGATTCCATCGTGTAACCCTCGCACACGCCTTCAATTACCTAGGCTTGACCGGTGAAGTTCTTCAGACAGAAAAGAATATTCTCAAATACACTTCTTGTCAACTCCCCAATGTCTTGCGTGGAGACGCTCTCTCGCGATTAAAGGAAAAATTCAAGCGCGAGAGAGAACGAATGAAGGATGGTCAAGAATCGAAGGGTATTGCATTACACAATTCTACCGTCAGTCGCCGACGACGTGCGAATACAGCCCTCCGCAAAGATGCGGTGATGCATGCCCTATCTAAGCAGCGCACTTCGTCCATGTCTAGCAATGTTGGTTCGCCGCACGAACGTTCCTCTCGTCACAATAAGCCACAACCTGGTGACCTGCTAGCCAATATTCATCAGGCTCGAAGCGTTCAAACCCCGTCGGGCTTAGATCCCAAAACACCGCTTGCTCAGCAGTCTTTCAATCCCTTTGATTCCGAGAAACATGCAAGAATATCTGTCGACCCACGCGATCTTGCTGAAGAAGATGACCTGTTCCGCACTTGCATTCTCGAGTGCATCTTCAAGACCCTTGGTCTCGATCACGGTGGTACAAACTCTAGAGAGCCAGAATCGATAGAAGCATCTCCACGTATAGGTTACATGGACCAACGGCGGGCACGGACGGCTTTTGCGAGCAATGCTTTTGGGTTTATGGGCCCATTCGAGACGTCGATCGATGGCGAAACCGAATCTGTTACCTCTAGTAACATGGGGTTACATGGGACGCCGAGTGCTTATCTGCTCTCGCAAGAGATGAAGAATGAGATGGAAATCGTCTTCTTCCCAAAGGGGTCTGTCCTAATTCAACAGGGAGAAAGAACACCCGGTATATATTATGTGATCGATGGTTTCCTGGATATTGGCGTAAGCAAGGAAACTTCCCGTGATATCCTGCACAAGAACCGACCAAAAACACCAGAGACGAAAAGCCCGGACAGGCCTAGTAGCGGCGGTAGCCACGATCGAACAGAAACTCGAAAACACAGTGCTCGTCGCCGCAGCGTTGCTCTGGTGAAGCCTGGTTGTATTGCGGGATATATCGGCGGTGTCTCGTCTTACCGCTCCTACATTGATGTAGTGGCAAAGACGGACGTCTATGTTGGCTTCCTTCCCCGTGCGTCTTTGGAGAGAATTATCGACAAGTATCCGATCATTCTACTCACCATGGCAAAGAGGTTGACTAGTATTCTGCCACGTCTCATCTTGCACATTGATTTTGCCCTGGAATGGGTTCAAGTCAATGCAGGCCAGGTCATTTTTCACAACGGCGACGAGAGCGAGGCTATCTACGTGGTTTTGAACGGTCGACTTCGACTTGTCGAGGATAGGAAAGATGGCGGTGTTGAGGCAAAAGCCGAGTACGGTCAAGGTGAAAGTGTTGGAGAGCTCGAAGTGCTCACAGAAACAGCTCGCTCCGGAACCCTGCACGCAATTCGTGACACCGAGATTGTCAAATTCCCACGGACGCTGTTCAACAGTCTCGCGCAAGAGCATCCCAATATCACCATCAAGATTTCAAAAATCATAGCGGCTCGTATGAGGGCCATGGTGGATGACCCATCGAGTGTATTTGGTGCCGACGCCGGCTCTGGCTCCATCCGAAATCACGGTAAATCTACGATGAATTTGCGGACTGTCGCAATCCTGCCAATTACTGCAGGTGTACCTGTGGTTGATTTTGCCAGTCATCTCATGAACGCACTTTCTCAAATGGGTATGCCGAATGGTGCTACCTCACTCAACCAAGCCGCCATTCTGAACCATTTGGGCAAGCATGCTTTCAGCAAAATTGGAAAGCTACGACTGTCTCAGTACTTGGCCGATTTGGAAGAAAAGTATGGACTCGTGGTTTATGTTGCCGGTAAGACCTTTTCCTTTTACTCTTGTACCCTTTCTCGCAATCGAATGATGAGCAATCTAAAGCCAAAGGCACCGCCGCTGATGGTTCTTTAAATTCTAATTTTTTCCTGACACGATTGACTACTACACTCTACCAAATCTCTTAATCCAGGATTTGACAGTAGCTAACGTCTCAATAGATACCAGTGTTAATTCACCTTGGACGCAAACTTGTATCGCACAGGCCGACAGCATCCTGTTGGTTGGCTTGGCGGTAGGATCGCCTGAAATAGGCGAGTATGAGCGATTCATGCTCGGCATGAAGTCGACCGCCTGGAAATCGTTGGTATTACTACATGCAGAACGCTATTCAAAGCCGGGCCTGACTAGGTCCTGGCTACGAAACCGTATGTGGATCAACGGCGGCCATTTCCACATCCAGATGGCTTTTACAAACAACGAGGTCAGGGTAATTCCGACTTCGAAGAAGCTCGGCCAAACGCTCAAGCAACAGCTGCAAATCTTGCAAATTGAGATTCAAAAGTATACGACGAAAAAAGCTCAGCGCTATTACATCCCTGACTCGCCAATGAAGAGCGATTTTCATCGCCTAGCTCGTCGGCTCTGCGGCAAGTCTATCGGCCTTGTTCTCGGCGGTGGCGGAGCGCGTGGTATTGCTCACATAGGCATCATTCGAGCAATCGAGGAAGCAGGTATTCCTATCGATATTGTGGGCGGCACATCCATAGGTTCATTCGTAGGAGCCTTGTACGCGCGTCATGCCGATGTGGTGCCCATGTTTGGCCTTGCGAAGAAGTTTGCTGGCCGCATGGCAAGTCTATGGCGTTTTGCACTTGACTTGACCTACCCCTCTGCTTCCTATACCACTGGCCATGAGTTCAACCGAGGTATCTTCAAAGCTTTTGGCAAAACACAGATTGAAGACTTTTGGCTCGAATTCTACTGTAATACCACCAACATTACAAAGAGTCGAAACGAGTTCCATACCAGCGGCTACGCATGGCGTTATATTCGCGCATCCATGTCTCTTGCTGGCTTGCTTCCGCCTTTGTGCGACGAAGGCAGTATGCTACTCGATGGTGGCTACGTCGACAATTTAACTGTCTCGCACATGCGGGGGCTCGGTGTTTCGAGCATCTTTGCTATTGACGTTGGTGCCGTTGATGACGACACACCGCAGACGTATGGCGACTCCCTGTCGGGCATGTGGGCATTTTTCAATCGCTGGAACCCATTTTCGTCGCACCCCAACCCGCCGACGCTGGCCGAGATTCAGGCGCGCCTTGCCTACGTCTCGAGCATCGATGCGCTCGAGAGCGCCAAGCAAATCGAGGGCTGCATTTACATGCGGCCTCCGATTGAGGCATACGGGACCCTCGACTTTGCCAAGTTTGACGAGCTGTACCGTCTCGGATACAACTACGGCCAGGACTTTATGAAGAAGCTGCGCGAGCAGGGCAAGCTGCCGCTGTCTGAGGAAGCGGAAGCGAAGCAGTCTATGCGGCGCACGACTGCACGCAGAAGAGCAAGCATATAGATATAATTATACAGATGAATGAATGCACAAGAAGTACTGCGTAATACACGATTCGCGCCCATTGAATACACGCAAATTTTGGATCCGTCATCTTGGTTTATTGGCCTAATGTAGAGTAATGCAACGCAATACACGTCTCGTCAGCATACACTGTTTCTCTTCATCTATATACAAGAAAGAATCGCTTGATTTACATCTTGTGCCTCGTTGTCTAGTTTATCACTGCGTATTCTTTACCTTGGCCAGCAGCGCCTCCGTCTCCTTGACAATCAAGTCAAACGTGGCCTGGACGTGCTCCTCGCGAACCGCCGCCGTGCTCGTAGACACGCGAATCGCAAACTTTCCATTCACCACGGTACTCGTCAAATACACCTTGCCCGACGCGTTGAGCGTCTCGTAGAGCGTCTCGGTGCGCGCGTTCCTCTCCTGCTCGTCGGCGCCGACGACGCGAAACGAGACCAAGGCGAACCTGGCGCGCGTAAACAGCGTAAAGAGGTCCGGCCGCGCGGCCAGCTTGTCGTCGAGCGACTGGCCGAGGCGGATGCCGCGGGCGACGTGCGCGCGCAGGCCGGCGATGCCGTAGCTGCGCAGCACGAACCAGAGCTTGAGGGAGCGGAAGCGGCGGCCGAGCGGGATCTGCCAGTCGCGGTAGTCGGTGACGAGGTCCGAGTCGCTGAATTCGTTGCGCAGGTAGGCGGGCTTGATGCTGAGCGCGGTGATGAGGTCGGCGCGGGACCGCACCCACACGGCGGAGCAGTCAAAGGTGGTGAGGAGCCACTTGTGCGGGTTGAAGTTGAAGGAGTGAAAGGAGGCGAAGGGAGGCGTCAGGTGCTGGTACTCGGGGAGCAGCAGCGCGGAGCCGGCAAAGGCGCCGTCGACGTGCACCCAGACCTCGCCGCGGGGCGCAGCAGCAGCAGCAGCAGCAGCAGCAGCAGTATCACCGTTGCTAGTGGTAGTGGTGGTGCCATTACTGTTGCTCTTATTGTTGTTGTTGTCAGCGGCTAGCGTCGCGGCAATTCCCACAAAGTCGTCGACGGCGCAAACGTCGGTCGAGCCAAACGTCGCCGTGAGGTAAAACGGCTCGAGGCCCTTGCCGCGCAGCTGCGCGAGCTTGGCGGCCAGCGCCTCGCCCGTCATGGCGTACCCGCTCTCCTCGTCGACCGGCACCGTGTCGAACCTGACGCCCAGCACCTGCGCCGCCTTTTTGGTGCTCGAGTGCGCGCCGGCGCTGCCCAGCGCGACCAGCCTGCTCCTGTGCCGCCACGTCTGCTCCTCCTTGTCCTCGCCCTCGGGCAGGTGCGCCGTCGCCTGCGCCAGATACCTGTCCCTCGCCGCGACCATGACGGTGACAATGGCCTCGGACGCGCTGCCGTGGAGCACGCCGCCTCCGTGCGTGGGGCCGCCGCTCAGGAAGCACTCGGGGAGCGCGAGGGCCTTGGCGAGCCAGTCGAGGACGACCGTCTCGAGCTCGGTGACGGCCGGGGAGCAGATCCAGTTGAAGTGGGCGCCGTTGAAGGCGTTGGACCACATCTCGGCAATGTTGGCCGGGTGGCTGGCCGTGCACGCAAAGAACGCCATGAAGCCCGGGTGCGCCCAGTGCGTGATGCCGGGGAGAATCTTGGACTGCAGGTCCGCGGTTATGGCGTCCATCGACTCGCCCTCAAACGGCGCCGCGTCGGGGAGCAGCGGGCGGAGGTAGCCGGGGGAGACGTCGGCGAGGACGGGACGCGACGGGATCGATTCATAGTAGTCGGCGACTGCAGAGACGCGGCGGGAAAAAAAAGACAACTGGGTTAGCCTGGGGGTTTTGTGAGCAGAAACAGGCGAGTTTGTTGCGGTTCGTTGCGGCGCGGGGGTGGTGGTGACGGGTGTGGGGGGAAGGAGTAGGTAGGAAACAAAGAGGCGGGTGGTGCAGCTGAGATCGGGCAGCTGCTGCGCTGCCTGCCAGGGAACGTGCAGAAAAGAGGAACAAGAGACCAGGAAGCCGATTACATACTCTCATCGACGGCCTTTTTGGCCTGCTTTCTATACTCGTTGATATCCATGATGTGTCGTTGCGGTGGTGCGCGGTTTGGTGCACGACAGAAACTTGGCTCTAAATACCACGCAAGCTAAAAGCAAAGAATATCTAAGCTTGTCAATTGACCAAGTCACGCAAACGGCAGTAGGGTGGGGGGGAGATGTCCATCGAATGTCAAAAAGGTCACCGCAGGGCGTGAATACGAAAAGCCAATAGCCAATAGTTTAAAAATGGAATCGCCCGGAATCGCGTTTCCGAACAGCCTCTGGGGCTCGTCCAGTCTCGTAAAAAGAGGTCCGCGCTAGTTTGCAGTGTGTGGGGAGCAAGGCGAAAGGGACGACCGGTTGCGTTGACCTGAAAGTCGATATCCGCTGAACAAGAGAACGAGTAGAAAGGAGTTGCTCAATTATTCGCTAAGCAAGTAGAGTATAAAAAAATATGTAAATGGTAGAAATTACCCGGTGCGGTAAGGCATGTTGCCTCCTCCTCTCGCAAGAATCGCTGAAGAAAAAAATAGTGATGCCCGTGCTACGCCGTGTAAACTGAAAACATCTACAGACTCCAGATTCTAACATCATTCCGGTTCGTAAAGATGAGCGAGTCGCCAAGCACTGGTTGCTTAGTCGACCTTGATGGCGCTGCAACATAGTAAGTACATGATCAAATCATCGTTTTTGCCCGAGTTAACATACCTGTATATCCGCCTCACAAATGCATAGGCGCTCAAAAAGCCAATCGTGCCCGTCAAGAGGCCGTACACGCAGCACGCGATCAACGTGTATATAAAAAACAGCATGCTGCTCACAAATCCTGTAATGTGCAGCTTAAACATGTAATACCACACAGAGTATGCAAAGATCCAGACGGCGCTGCTGCCGCCCACGAAAAATGATTGCCACCACCAGTGGTAGTTTTCCGAGCACAGCTGAATGTAAATGGTCACGACCGTTACCTCAGCAATCGTCACGACCAGAATCACCGACACGACTGCAAGGAAGCCAAACATGTAGTAGTAGCCACTCTTGTTCTGCCACAGTGACTGGAACACAAAAAGCAGCTCGATGAAGATGACGGCAAATGGAATCAAGCCCGCCAGCAGCACCGCCTGCATCGACTTGCTGTACCATGCGTGGTTCGGCAGCTGACGAGGAATAGTCGTGGTTCTGGTGGGATGCTGCCACCCACCAGCCTTGACGAAGCCGTAGTACGCGCCAGCGTACACCAGCGGCACCTGGAAGCAGAGCCACAGGACCACAATCAGAACAAGCGAGCCAAATGGAATGGCCGTGCTGGAGGCCTGCGCCCACACAAACAAATTCACAATGAATACGAGCCCAAACATGAGCCCAGGAAACAGCAGCGCTGTCACCATGGCGTTCTTGCGATAGTCTTTGCCATCAAAGCTCTTGAACACACGCGCGGAAAAGTAGCCTGAAAAGACGCCCGCAAATACGAATAAGCCCACACCAACACTGATGAAACCACCACGGAAGCTGGGGTTCAAAAATCCCAGAGCGCTGAGTAACACCAGCCCCAGGGCCATGAAAAGGAGCTGCATGCCGGACCCCACGAGTGGCGCGAGCAGATAGCCACGCTGAGGTGCTCGAAAGACGTCTGTGTGCAGCTGTTTCCAGCCCGTTACATCTTCCAAAGCCTCTTCAGTATCAGAGAGATCAGCATCCAGACCATCGCCCCCTTGGTCCAATAATCCTGTGGGCACGTCTTTCTTGACCCGCTTGCCACGAGACTTGCTCTCCATCGTCTCCTTGTAGCCTTTGATGTCCGAGTTGACGGTGCGCGCAAAAATGACCATAACAATGGCGGTCAACATGCCGCAGATGATGAGGGAGTTGACAATGGCAAGCCAGTGAATGCGCGCACCATCCTCCTGGTTGACAAAGTACAGATCCCAGCGGTGGGACCACTCGATCGTATTGTCTTCTCTAAAGTATACCGAGTATGTGTACGGAACAGTTAGAGTGCCAGACTCACTATCGTCATCGAATGATCGTCGCTCGGTCTGCAGCAACATTTCGTCGCTATAACGCGGCGCGGTTTCTGTCGTCGTGTTGGGTCCCATGTGGAGCTCTAGTGCGTGCTCAACATGCTGCAAGTCGACGGGACAGCCCTCAGCGTCGCGTTTGCTTCCATTGCCAATGCTCTTGGGATAGACCTCGAAGCCTACCACAATGTTCTCGCCACGGTCGCCAGCCTTGCCAGGGGCCTTGCGATAGCGAATGACAATCGTGTGGTGGTTGTTCAGGTAGTAGTGGGTTTGCCCAGTCGAGGGCGACAATTCGCTGTAACCAAGCTTGAACCCCGAAGCATAGTATTTTCGTGTCTTGTCGACACTGACGTAGCTTGTGGCGCCGGGCAGGTTATCGACGATCCACTCGGTCACGTAGGTCTCACGGATCATCTCCTTGGCGCGCCGCAGGTCATCTGCGTTGAGCTCCTTGGTGCAGAGAGCTTTGCAATGCGTCTCCTTATTCATAATCAATTCAATGTCGGACGTTCGGATTCGATCGCCACGGAGGACTTCGCCAAGATTGAGGGGCACGTTCTTGCCGCTAAGCAGGCCACCAAGAGATTTGGTATGTTCTGACGGAGGACAGACAAATGGGAGGTCGTAGTACGCATACTGAAGCTGGGTGCTGTCGGAGTAGACTTTGTTGACCATGAGAGGCACCGGCTCGCCAGTTTTGTAGCTTTTGATCGAGTATCCTACCTCCAAGTTAGCCACGACCTAGGCACAAAGAAGAAGCGGCGAGGCCGCGCGCAAGGTGCGACATACCTGGGATGTAAAAGGCATCTACAAAAGACAGTAGCAACAGGGACGCCAGACCACCAAGGCCAGAAGCTCGTAGCCTGACCATGGTGCACAAGCAAACTGTCAGGTCGTGCGACACGGGGTAGAGAGTATTGGGCTCGGCTGCTTCGGAGTCAAGAATGAGTGCGGCAGAGACGATCTGGGGCTAAAGATGTGTTGGATCGAAGTCGATGGCGCGCAGATAATTTTCAATCACGCATCAAGATTTGAGCCCCTCACGAGCAGTTCGAATAGGAGCTGTGGTTGGAATTGGGGGTGAAAACGAGTGTAATGGGCACTAATGGCCACGCAGGATCGACAAGGGTGAATACGAGGGGAGCTCGGGGTGTAACGAGGAGGCACAATTGAAAAAGGCGTCTCGTACAATGCTGATTTGGATGGAATAAGGGTTGCGTCGACTAGGTCGTGAAACTGTGTCACGGAAGCGAGAGAAAAAGAGAAAGGGTTGAGGAGAAATGAAGCTAACGCTAAATGCACAAATGCAATCCATCTGTCTTGATGAGCGATACAGGGTGCAAGGGGCGGGGCCGATTGAACGATGGGGCACGGAATGTGAGGTCCCACCGCAACGGATGGTCAATTGGCCTTTTTTTTAGGGTGAGCACATCGCTGTAATCAAGCATTTACAGTGGACTTTTGGTCTTTGCCACGCACTGTACGAAGAGGCTGCTGGTACACAATTCGGAGGGAAGAAAAGGGGGGCCCAACCAGCAATTGGCAGCCCGACGGTACTTTATTTTTAGCGGCGAATCAGGCCGCCCAATTTCTGCGGAAGTGCCCGACGACCAATCACGTGCCGCGCAGCTGCCACGCCTCGCAACCAGGTCCGAACCATGGTCCATAAGTTAACTACTTGCATGGATCGGCAATGACATGATGGATCTAGCGGGCTGATGCGCAACACAAAAACCGATGCTGACATCTTGAAGCCTATAGAGATTTTGACCATGTCGTGATTGCAAAAGTGAATGTGTTGAGAACTGCTCTTCTAAGAGCCAGTATGTCTGTCATTATATTACCGAGTATATCTATGTATCCTTTGTAGCAGATGATGTGTAACCTTCAGAATGACCAATACCTAGAAAAAAAGACAACGCTCGCAAATGTCTATACATTTTACATTTCCCACGTAGACGCTTGAAGAGTCTAGTATCAACTATAGAATGCTCCTAAGAAAATGATCGAGTTTGAGAGCAAGGCTATAAGAAACAAAAAAGCAAATTCTCAGTGAATGGCAGGTCGTGGGTATCGTTATGGAAATTAGGCGACCGGTGCTACTTGCATGGCCGCTCTACGGCTCAGCTCGCTGTAGCCAGGTAAAAGAGTGTTGGTCTGAGGTGCGTCGTCAGAGGCGGCGCGGCGAATGCGCGGGCGGAGGTAGCTGTCCGCCTCGGCCTCGTGGTCACGGGCCATGACGCTCTCGAAGCTGGGTAGCGCGCCACCCTGGGGATCGTCGTAAATCGTCTCAACGCCGACTTGGACGGGCACCGACAGTGTCATGGTAGTGTTGGTGGGTCCGACACTGACGCACAGCTGAAGGACGTAGGTACGTGAGATTAAGCACGAGTGGAAGGTGGGCAAGAAGATCTTGCGGTTGGTATTGGTGATGGTGAAGGGAAGATCGAGGCTGGCGACATGCTTGATAGGCGAGGCGGCCTTTTTGTTGCCGCTGCTCTTACCTACGGCGTCACTGTCCGGCGACAGGTTCGAGGTTGAGTAGCCCGAGTCGCGACGACCCGCGTCAACTTTTTCCTGCAGCCAAGAGATCTTGTCTACAGGCGTGTTGAAGAGGTTGCTCGTCGTGGTGTAGTTGAGGCACGGGTTGCTGTGATACGCGGTACGCGGGCCCAGATTAGGTAGGTAGTTGACGGGGGCAGCGCCGAAAAAGGTCGTAGATAGCAGCTTGCCCGAGACCGAGTTGATCTTGGGCGGGGCGGTGTCGACTGAGTCGGGAACGAACTCGAGCTTGATATGCGCGACCGGCATGGACGCATCGCGGCCGTCGGCGGAGAACATGACGGCCTCGGGCTGGGTCGAGGTGGCCGTCAATTTTCCCGTCTTGGCAGAGAAGAGGTTCTTACGAATCGTCTTGGTCTTGCTCATGGTATAACGCTCGTCACGAAATGTAATGTCGAGGGGCGCATCTTCAGGACTGGCGGGGAGCACCTTGACGACGTGCTGGCCTTCCATGACCTTGAAAGCTGGAGCGTCCCGGTCCTGCTTGACGGCGCGAGCCTTGACGGCGTACTCGATCTGGGCCATCTCGGGGGCCAGGTCGTCAGCGCTCCAGAAGCCAATGGTCGGGGGCAGGCGCAAGTGGTGGTCGAGGACAGTGTCGACATCGCACTGATGCTTGCAGGCTCCAATGGGGAGCTGGTGAGGGACGACAAAGTGGAAGGGTATGGTGTATGTGCGGCCGGCCTTGAAGACACGGTCCTCGGGAATATCGTCCTCGGAAATGGGCATGCGCAGTTTCAGGAAAGGTCTGAATGAGTGTGAGGGGTACTGCTGGACAAAGTCTAGGCGTGTGGCGGCGATGCCAGTGAAGACAATGTCAAAGTGGTCAAAGGCAACGTCGCGCGCCGTCTTGACAATGGCGCGGCCAGCAACGACGGAACCCGAAGTGTAGACTTTGGAGTTGTAATGGCGATCGATTATGACATCAATGGTAGGCTTAAGGGCGGCTACCGCCTTGGAGCGAGCAGCCGCCCGGCCGGTAGGGTCATTGGCGTCGGGCATTACGTATTAAATTTCTCAAGAGATTTTCAGACTTGTGTAATCGGTATGAAAATGCTTCGGGTGCGTTTTATTTGCGTTGCTTGCGTTGTTGGTAGATCGAGCTTGTATAGAGAATTGCGCGTGTGTAAGTGCGGCGATCCCAGATATATACCTAGGTGGACGATGCCGTGTGAATGACGTGCGTGTGTGGATGACAAATGGTCGAGCGCGAGGCTGGCAAAGGGCGCGACTTGTCAAGTTGGCGGCAGAATTAAATATTAGGAAACACCAGCTGCCGATCAACGAGCGAGCAAGTATTGTGGGAGGGTTGAGGTGCAGTGATGAGGAGGATGCGACGAGAAGGTTTCAAGCAATAGGTAGGCAAGCAGGTCGGGCAAAGGTGTGAGGGCAGAAGCTCTTTTTTATTTCACACGGAAGGCAAGCTGGCGCTAGTCACTTGACATGGGGACGAAGGGGTACTTTTTCCAGATAAAAAATTGGAGAACGAGCTTGACAGGCGAAAAAGAAAAGGCAATTCAGCACGGGAAAGTAAAAATAAATAATGAAGACCTAATACAACGGGTATAGGGGTGGCCAAAGAGGCTCAAAGTCGGATCGAAACGGCCGCGTGCAACAACATGGCTCGGATGACTGGAGCGTGTCTGTAGCAGAGCTCCAAGTCTAGGAGGGGTGTGGAGGGGCGAAAAAAAGGACCCCGAGAGGGTCAAGCTCCAGCATCTCCAGCATCTCCAGCATCTGGCAGGGCCCGAGCTCTGGTTGGCTCGTCTGTTTGCGTGGGTTGGGCTGGCAACTGGCAGCTGGGCAGCTGGAAAGAGCGCAAACGCAAACGCAAACGCAAACGATGGTGAATTAGTTATGCCGGCTACTGCCAGCTGCTACCAGCTGCTCCCAGTCATGCATTTGTCTGCGGTACGTAATAGGACGGGTGTGGCAAGAGCAAACGCCAACTTCTACTACAAATCTACCTAAGATAAATAGGTATGGAAGCGCTGTAATAGGAGCGTGTTACATGTGTTACAGCGCTCTTACAGAACCTTCGTCCTCCGATTCGGACCCCATTTAGAAGGTGTTTACTTGGTGTGCTTGGGTCGGCGGGCAAAACTAGAAAATTCTGTAGCTCGCGCCACGACCCAAAAAAAAGATTCCATCACTCATGGAAAAATTCTGCCATCTCCATCACGAGCACTACAGAGGAATCACACACGATGCTCCCAAACATGCATCACCAGCCTAATACCTTTACAACACCGCCATCATCAGCGCTCATCATGTCTCATCATCGCACATGAACTTTCCGCATTTTTCTACGCCGTCATCTTGTTGACTTGTTTATTTTTCTTTTCTCGCCCCTTGCCACGAACGTAGGTGGGAGGCTTGCCGATGGGAGGGGGAGGAACGGAACGTCCGAGAACCGCGCTGGTTCATTACACAAGCACCAGGAAAAAGTATGAGGCTGAGGTTCACGATGCCTGGTCTCTTTAGTCAGGCACTCCCTGCCATGACGAGAGAAGACGCCCCTGTCATCCCCTCCCACCAAGTCATGAAGCTCCTCCCACCATCTTGTCATCAGCAACCCGTATGAGCGGTGACTTGCCAGTTGCCAGGTCATACATGATGATGAATGACAGAGCGCCTTGAAGCTAAATCTCGATGTGATGCCGTGTCAGCCATTGATGAGCTCGATGAGCGTGCAGAGTGTACTGGTGTCGGGCCGCAAGTGGCTCCTATGATTTCATACAGCTCCATCAAGTGGCACCAGTTTGCGATGGCGAACTGTACGAAAGAGAAGAATAAGCGACTTGCACGACTGTGCGAGGTCCAGTATTTTGCTTGTGAGGCTCGGCGGGGGGTACCGGTAATGGCTGCGCGTCACGCCACACGGAATCTACGAGGCGGTTGCTCACATTGCGAAAGCATACCCACCCACGACGGCGGCGGCTATGGGACCCAACCTGCTTTTTTGAAGCCATTATAAATGTTGCTTCTCGACGGTCATCGATTCGTCCATGTTGAGTAGCGGTATCGAGGTCACAGATACCACGGCATGACGTGACAGCTCCTTTGCACTCATCAGCTCATTAGGGGCCCTTGCGATCCGTCGTTCCCCTTCCATTACTACGGTACTACCTATGTGCATATGCGCCGGGAGCCACGAGGTCATTGCTCGAACTCCATGTTCAAATCATCTGGAACAAAGTCTGGTTCGGTCTCGAACTTTTTTGATGGGGCGGCTACGCTGCCCTTTCGGCGGTGGATCGGAGGTTATGCGGGAATGAGGAAATGATGAAGTAACAAGCTGGAAGCCACCAGCCAAAGGAGCCTCCTGCAAGCCATGCCGCTGCCACCACGGACGCAGCCTAGCAACCTAACTAGCTCGTCATCCCATTTCCCCATTATTCCCCAATATTTCGATGGCTCAACTTTTTCAAGGGCGGCTCACTAGTGCGCTTCCGTCAGCGGGAATGCAATCTGATGCCCTATTTGGGAACAGTGCTGGCAGCGGATAGGGCAAGTCTAGGGCAAGATTTTGCTACCTAACCTAATTATACCCACTGTCGATTCCGGTGCCCATCGTTGTCTCAAGGATTCATTCGCAGCCACACGCATCAGCCGCTCCATTTTATATACACGAACTCTTTCTTTGACTCGACAAAAGACACACGACGTATGCCATTCACCAAGAGTCTGCGGGCGGGCATCGTGCTACTATGTGCTGGAATTGTCTCGGGGCCTACATCTTGAGCAATCTTTTACCTGTTGCAGTCTGTTGCCTTTTGTAACGCCATGGCCACACTACTCTTCTTCCTCGCGCCCATCTTGCCTCTTGCGGCGACGCATGCCTCCCACCACTGCAACACCGGGCCAATCCGGCCAAAAAAAAATCTTGATATTCTATGCACTAGCAAATCTCTTGCTGCCCTGATTCTTACTTGAGCCTCACGCCAGCCCAACCTGCGGCAGCCGGCTGCCAACAGCCTCGGATCTCGTTAGTTTTCCCTCTGGCGTTTTTCAGCCGCCGACTACATTGTTGGCCCTTGCGATTTTTGTACTCGCATAATATGGAACGATGACCGCCTCGTCAAGCTCATCATTTTTCACTCGTCTTCACAAGTCTTTCCTCACAAACTGTCCAACCCCGCAATGCACAGTAATTAGTAGGTAACGGTATTCGTCAATCGTCACCAGCCACAATGCCACCCCCCAACCTCGACGACACTCCCCTGAACCCAGATGCTGCACGATATGACTGTCCCTCTCCGATTCTGGAATAGACCTTGTCCACATCATGATTACGCGAAACCTTTTCTCGAAATCTGTGCTTTTTCTTGGGTTTTAATCCTTCTTTTACCATTCTCCAACTTCTTTGTCAATATTTCATCATTCATTACCAATACCTCCACCACATGCTCTTATTGTTCTTTTGGGTTTTTACCAATTTCTGCCTACCTATCCGTAACCTTACCCCCGTAGTCCGATGCTGGCTGCAGAGTCAGCCTCTGCAGTTCCGTTCTGTGCCATTCATCGCTTTTTCAGCGCTTACAACGACCACTTTTTTTTTTCCAATACTCGAATGCTCCGTCGTCAACGCGGTCCGGAAAGTTTTCGGTCTTCTTCTCGTGTCCAGCTTTGACTACGTTCCCCCCTTCACCCTCTTCTGCTTTCCGCCCACGGCATTCCGCGTCCGGTTATTCTAGAGTATCATTCTTTCCCGCGGGTCCATACAGGTCATCAAGTCAAGTCAATATATCCTACAGATAAGCAGCCAGCCCGCTCTCTTAAGTTAATAGCCAAGCCTTTCAATAACCCACCACGTCCCAAAGTCTCAACGGCGCTAGCATAAAGCTTGGCTCCGGGCCCCAAGTGGGCTTGGCGGCCTGGCGACATTGCTCGCCCTGCGTAAATTTGGTTTACGCACCCCCACCCCGCCCCGAGCTCGGCCCCGCGGTCGTCTCGTCTGACCATGCATGACCGCTTTTATATCCTCCACCACATCATTGAATTCTGTGAGCAGACGCAAAGCAATCAAAATCATGGCGGATAGAGAGAGTCCGTTCTTTCTTCTTAGCTCGACGGCTGGACCGCCGGCTCTTTTCCTCGTCTTTTCTTCTTACTTGTGATCGTTATTCCTTTGCAAGACCCCAACTCGAGATCAGGGTCTGTCTCTTTGCACTTTTCGCTCATTGTGCATTTGGTCATTCCACCTCCCCCCCTAGGCTCTTTAGAGAGTCATGCCCGGGCTTTCTCGTGCAACATCAATACCGTTGAGGCCGGCGTTATGTAAATTGGTAAGCTAGAGTTCATAATACAGAAAAAGAGGTGCCAAAGCTCCGTCACCTCTAGCAGCGCCTTCCATGTCAATGTAGCCTCCTCGTCTGACGCTCTGCACTTCTAAAACGTAATCTTACAAACTAAATGTACATGATCTTCAAAATTGGCACCCATCAGCCGGACATTAACGCCCGTCCGCACACTATACCTTGTCCTCATGCTTCTTGACTTCGGTCTCGCATCGCCCGCACAGCCCGTCTTCCTCTTCGGCCTGGTACCGCCAGCATCGCGAGCACTTGGCCTGCGCCGGCGGCAACACATGCACCTTGCCTCGGGACTCGTCACCGCCAATGGCGGTGGTGTAGCGCCACGCCGGCTGCTCGGGCAGCGCGCTATTCACTGAAACCGACGACACCACAAAGATGGCGTCTAGCTCGTCCTGGTACTCCGCCAGACACGAGACCAGGCCGGCATCCTCTGTCGTGACAATGACCGAGCACTGCAACGAGCTGCCCACTTCCTTGGCCAGCCGTGCCGGCTCCAGCCCGGCCTTGATAGCCTCGTGCACGGCAAAGAGTTTGGGAATGTCCTCGCGTAGCTTTTGCTCGTCATACTTTAAGCGCCCAGAGTCAATGACTGGTGACTTGTACAGCTGCCTTGCCGGGTGCACCATTGGGCTGTCCTCGACCATCCAGCTAGGTCTGTTGGCCCAGGCCTCCTCTACCAGCACAGGCGTTACTGGGGCCAGCATCCTCAACATGCCAACCAGTATCGGCTCGATCGCTCCACCCCCGTCGCCGCAGTACAGTCTGTCCTTGAGGGCTTCCAGGTAAAATGCCGACAGGTCCGTGGCGACCCAGCGGTTCAAGATACCTACACCCTTGTGAAACTCGTGGTTGTTGTACGCCGCCCACACCTGCTCCATTGTCGTCGACAGCTGCAGCATGGCAATGTGGTCGAGCCTGGTCAGGGGAGTGTTGCGGCCGGACTCGTGCACTGAACCAAGAAGCATTTTGAGAATCGTCCGGTACCGAACAAGCGCGTTGTGGACGGGCTGCAGGATGCTGGGGCCAATGAGGATATCTGTGGTAAAGTCACAGCTGCCGGCCCACAAGCGTAAAGCATCAGGCCCTAGAGCATCAGGCTGTCCAGCGTCTTTACCTTTGCGCTTCACTGGTGGTAAAAGTGTGCCGTTCATGACCTCCTCTGGGGATAGAGTGTTGCCCAACGACTTGGACATCTTCTTTCCTTGCGCGTCCAGTGTGAAGCCGTGCGTAATCAGGGTTCGAAACGGAGCAATAATGCTGCCCGCAGGTTTGCCATCAGCCTTTTGCGCCGCCACATAGCTGAGGAGACTGGACTGGAACCATCCGCGATGTTGGTCTGAGCCTTCAAGACAGACGTCGACCTGCTTTTCGATTTCGGTCCAGCTAGTACCACTGTCAAACCAAACATCCATTGTGCATGAGCCGCGATAGTATTTGCCTTTGAGATGTTCTGGGATCCAAACTGGGTCATCTGGGCTGTCCGAGAACCACGCATCCGATGATCTCTCCTGCATCACATTGATGATATGCTCAATAGTATCTGCGTCCATAATGGCTTTGTGATTACAGTCGTAAAGGGCTGGAATTGGTACACCCCATGAACGCTGTCGCGAAATACACCACTCGGATCTACCTTTGATGAAGCTCTCTAATCTTGCTCTGCCATTTTCAGGCACAAACTTGACATTCTTGAGAGCGTTCAATGCATCATCCTTGATACTTCCTACATCAGCAAACCACTGTGGAGTGGCTCGAATGACAACCGGCTTCTTTGATCGCCAGTCATAAGGATACTTGTGCTGAATCTCATGAGTCGCAATCACATCCTCAGCCACGAGTTCGAGAACGGAAGAGCTTCCACCATCCAATATAGAGGGCGCCGAGGTGAGTACTTTCGGATCGTCAGGGTATGCTTCTTCTGTGAACCGACCTTTGTGGTCGATGGGCGCAAACGGCTCAATGCCGTGCGCAAGGCAGACCTCGTAGTCATCTTGCCCGTGACCAGGTGCTAGATGCACCAATCCAGTACCCGAATCAGCAGAGACAAAATCTGCATGGATTATAGGCTGCCAAGGAGCGGTGATGCCTCTTAGCTTGTTGTGATACTCCAGACCAACCAGCTTCGAACCCGGGATGTCGTCGACTATAATCTCGGCTTCTGGGATGTATTTGCGGATAGCTTCGATTCGACTTGAAGCAACAAGAAGTCCGTATCCGTTCATCTGTAGAACAGCATATAGTATGTCATTGTGAACGCCGATCGCCTTGTTTGCCGGGAGCGTCCACGGCGTCGTCGTCCAAATCGATGCGTACAAGGGAACGTCAAAATCTCGAAGCTCCGTGATGCCGCTGTGGGACCTGATCGGAAACTTGATATAGGCACAATTTGAGACGTGGTCGTCTTTGTATTCCAATTCGGCTTCGGCGAGGGCGGTGGCGGATGATGGCGACCAGTATACCGGCTTGTGCTTTCTGTAGATGAGCCCGTGGCGCACCATCTTCTGGAAGACGCGCAGCTGTCGAATCTCGTATGCCCGATCCATGGTGGTCCATTTATTATCCCACTCTGACATGACGCCAAATGACCGGAACCCCTTCATCTGCTCCGTGACCGTCTTGGTCGCCAACTTGCGCGCCTGCTTTCGCACCTCCACACTCGAGAGGCCCTTTGTTTCTGTGGTTCCTAGAGCCTTCATCTCGATCGGCAGCCCGTGGCAGTCCCAACCAGGTCGAAAAACGACCCTTCGGCCATTCTGCACCTGTACTCGTACAACCATATCTTTGAGGATCTTGTTGATCGCGTGCCCGGTGTGCAGCGGGCCGTTTGCATATGGAGGGCCATCTTGAAGAATAAAAGGCTCGTCCTGGGACGGTCGCGACGACTGCCAGTTATAGAATTCGTCCGAGCAACTCAGCAGATGCTGTCGTTGTAGCTTCGGGTTCGGTCGCGCCCTGAATGGCAGAAAGATTAGGGCGTCGCTTCATTACTGGGGCGCTGGGTTATGCCTGAAAGCTTACGGAAAAGTTGAGCGGGGCAGTCTCAAAGTTGACTTCCACGATTTGGACATTTCGACGTCCAATCTATGTCGTAGGGGCTGCCAATGCAGCTGGGCTGAATGCGGCTTGTGCGAGCTTCGGCGTCAAATTCATATGGATATTACTTTTGGATGTCGGTGGGTCCCGTGGAGATCCTCAGGCACAACCCTGTCCGGAGAGTTGCTGCGGCTTCATCGCGAGATCTCTCGCCAACTGCCATAATTTTATTCTCAGTGATTGAAAACCTTCATGAGAAAGTTCAATTGACTTTACCACTCGAGCCTCTGCCAATAATACTGACGGCACCCACTCAGTCCATGTATAGAATTGACCCTGACCGTCTTGGCCAAAGGCCGGTCTTATTAGAGTAAAGGCCCTTTATAGACGCAGACTGATCTCCTGCCCAAGAGACTCTGCGGGAGTTGTTTGAAAATCGTAGTAGTGTCGAGGGATATATATGATAGAAGGCATGGAACTTATTGAGGCTGAGTGATTTGTAGGCACGTCATAGCAACACTGGTGCCAAGACAACAAAGTCATGATCAACAAGTGCTTCTGCACCGTCTGCCGCGCCAGTTCTTTCGGTCTTGAATGAAGGGAGCTTAGATGCGTATTGAAGTCGAGTTATTGCCCTGACAGAAGATTCGTCTTGCCCATTCTCGCAATGATTGCTCACTTCCATCTCTTCAAAACGCATATGTACCCTACAATACTTGTTGGACACAGTGGGGCCGACAGTGATGTCACCCCGTTCACGGTGAGTTTTGGTCACTTCCATCAACTTTACATCGTTCCAGCCTACTGGCACAGATACTGCAGCGCAATGGCTCCTGTACGGCGATATCTAAGAATTACCAAGTATTCTGTTCTAGAATGCCGGATATACCTCGATAGCCCAGCGCTTGCGCAATCTTGGCTGCTGCATCCGAGGCACCAGACTCTGGCGCGGGTGATAGAAGCTGTGCGCCCACTAGTGTTGCCGAAGCTGCGAGAGGAAAAAGAACGCGAGAGAGCCAAGAAAAAGCCGTCTAAAAAGTCTCGAGTAAAGGACGTGATTGTGAAAGGTATGCTAGTCTGTTGGCTACCAGTCCAACTCACGCGGGTTGACACTGGGCTAACAGTTCGCAGATGATTTTGAAGTATCCATGTTTCTCACCGAAACAAGCACGCGACATTCGTTGCTCACCAAGAAGAAACGCTTTAGAGAAAAAGGCCCGACGATGATGCAGTCGAATGCAACCAAACTCATCGACGAGACAAATGACCAACCCCTTGGTGTAAGCAATGCAGATTTTGCTCCCATACGCATCGAGGAAGACAGCGATGACGAAGAAAACATTGACCTATCGGCCATCCCGACTTCCGATGCGCAAGGCGGATCCAAGCGTGGCAGAGGTCTTAGCGAGTATGCTTCGGCACCTGGTGATGGTGAGGCAGAAGGAGTTGCCATAGAGCTGAATTCCGACGGTGAGGAGCCGCCATCCAAACGACGGCGCGAGATTCCAGGACAGGGATCTGACGAAGATGGCGAGGATGACAAGAAGAAAATGGCCATGGACGTTTCATACGAGGGCTTCGCAATCTACGGGCGTGTTCTCTGCTTGGTGGTTAAGAGACGGGATACCGCGACGAGGTCTAATAAGTCAACGCCGCCTGGTAGCACCGCAACTACTGGGCAAGCGAAAATGGAGAACTGGATAACATCTACCCAAATGCCGGCTGACGAAGCATGACATGACGACTGGTGATGATGAAACGGCGTCACGAGGCAAGCGATTGCCGAGACCCCTGGGGATGATTTTATGCTTTCACCGAGATTTCAACGTCATATGAACGTAAAGGCCTGCTGCATAACTGCTATGTTTGGTGAAGATTGACCCTGTACGCATTAGCTTTTGATGCATGGCCATCATCAGAAATGCACAGTCTTTTACGCGTCGCGCATGAAGCATCATGGGACAGCAGCCCCATGAGTTGTTAGAGTGTCATGCTGGATCAGCGTCTTGTCCTATAGGCAGGCTGGACACATCATGGTCGAACTGGAGGGGGCGTCGGGTGTCTACAACCAACAAGGTTTGGAGAAGACTTGGACGACAAGGAAAGAAAGGGTCGTAACTGTTGGATTGCATCCGCAAACGCTAAGATCAGCACTGATGATTGATGCAGCGGGTTTGCGCATGTAGACGGCCGTTTTGCATTGCATAAGCGCTCAAGTGAGAAGACACCGTCATTGGACAAGCAGAATAAGATTTTCGTGCCAAGGGGTTTATTTCCGCCAGCGAGAACCTTTTTTTCTTGGATCAGTCCCGGCCGTGCCCCCGTTTTGAAATCGATGCTTGCGTTGCGCGATAATGATTTGAAACACCGATTGGTGATTGAGCTGCGCTCGGCGCCGGAAAATAGACAGGGTGAAGAACGCGTAAAGTCGTGTAAAAAGGCGAAATAAAAATAGACTTGACTGCTAAGTCGGCGTTACGAGAGTTTAAAAGTGATGCTAGTGTTTCATGGTGTCTACAAGCTTTTCGGGTTCGCTCTATTTTCGGTCCGATGCGTCGCGTGCAGAATTTCGGTTGCATAGTTTTAACTGATGAAGAAAAACTAAAGCACATTTTTACAGAGACAATTCGGCATATGCCAAGCATTGATTACCGCGATGACTGCATTGCTTCAAAGAGACAACAAAAAAAAAAGGCTGTCGGCGTTGCCCCTTCTCGCACCGCTCGGACTATGTATGCATGCATGTCTTGCGCCGCATGAAAGAGAAAGAAAAAGGGTCTGCCCACTGTGAAGCCATGCAGTTTCGCATCTGTTCAATGCGCGCTGATGTATTGAACTTGGTATCGAGGCTTTTTCCCACCCCCAAGGTTGTGAATTTCAAAGATGATGGCGGGCACCAGTTTGCTGCATTGAAGCGCCATCGTACGACGCATATGCTGACATTTGACCTTTTCCGACTGCTTTTTCTGGCATGTTTTGACACTTCATCACGCAGCCCTAGTGGGCAGATGACCAGACTGTTTGGCAGGGTGCTAGTTTACACTCGATGTCTTGATCGGAAACAAATCACATCGACATCGGAGGGCGGAGAGGTACTTGATGCCAAAGTACCGGCATCAAAGGCGTCGGGCAACGCCCCAAAACTGGGCTTTGTGGTACATGATGTGTCGTTGCAGATGCCATACTCGTAGTCTCATATCACCTCATCTCTTTCATCACTTTACTGCCCTGCTCGTGATCACACGGTGCGCCACGAATCACGGCAATGCGTGCGCGCGTCAACCTCGCCGCCAACCTCTCTGCCCCTCCTTCCCCTGTAAGCAAATCGGGCGGCGCGCCTTGAAACCCCCGCATTCAGCCATATGTACCAAATCATGTCACTGGCGCTGGAGACTTGATTCGATCAAACGTACCATATTTTACCGTCACACATCTCACAACAGTCAGATTATTGCGGAGCTTCGGGCCGGCGGAGATTTGGTGTGTGTACTGGTAGTAGCGGCCGTCAGGTTGCCCAAATTCACCGTTACCTAGTTATTTACTCGGCCCGCCTGATAAAGCATGCCGCCCTCTTTCCCACATCAGACCACAGGATGGGCGATCTGTCGGCATCAGCGGCGATGTGAGGGGGGGTCGACCTTGCACGTATGCACGCAACCCAGCAGTAATCATACGAGTTGCGGTGGTACTGCAGATTTCTCCCGCCCGAAAAGTCTGCCCTGCACCTATTGGCGAACCCTTGGCTCGGCCGCGGACTTATGGACGCCCTTTGTCTCAGGGCGACGATTTCTGGTCGTGGCTTCGTGGCCGCGGATTCTTGTGTAATGAATCATATTGATCACTGCACCATAACCAAACTCGAGTGGCCGAGCAAGCAGAGAGGCACACGCCCCTTTCTGTTGCCCCTGCGCCATTGTCGGGCGGAAAGGCTGAATAGGCTGTTTGGACGACGCCTCAGACGTACTGGTATATAATAGCGTGCAGCAAGCATCGCGCATTACGCGTAATAATAAGCAGCCATCATGATGAAATATGCAACACTTGATTGAACCCCTGACAACCACGTGGGAAGAACAGCGAGCGACGCCCTCTCCCTCTGTGTCCCATGTTCGCCCAGCGCCTCACCCGCTCTGAAATTGGCAACTACACTATTTTCGAGACGGATAGATTAATTTCATCCGACCACTGCGCCACTTGTTCGTTTGTCGCAGTGTGCCATTGGAGGATGGAAACAACTGGGCATCATAGCGTGTAAGCCGATGAAGCACTTGCACATTGCGCCACCAGGCGAACGTACCATTGTGTGAAGAGTCAAACGACTGATGAGAAACTCGACTGGTGGCGGCGAACGGGGGCAAGCTCAAGCCATGAATGCCGGAATTCAGACTTTTTTTTTTCCGTCGTCGTTGGCTCATGGCGCGGACCCTAGACGAGTTGGGATGCATTATCAGCATTTTACCACCACCACCCACACTCAACGGCGGCAGTTGGCAGTGGCAGATGCCAGCCCCCCCAGCTAGCTACTCGGCACAGCCGGGGTGCACAAGAGTGCCGTAGCGTTTCATCACGGGTGGTGCCCGTAGGAGGGGACCAGCTATCTCTAAGTTATTCCACATTCTATCTTGCTCGAGGCGAAAAAAAAAAAAAAAAAAAAAAAGGCACGCAGTATCTAAGGAAAACAAAAAAACCCTTCCCGTGTAAGCCGGACTCGAGCCAAGCTAAGCAGGGCCAAGCCGCGAGACATGAAATGCATGTCATGTAAAGCCACGCTTGTTGTAGTTGACACTGCCTGTGGCTTATTGTGGCTTATACTTCTTCAGTTGGTCATCTGTAAATAGCTACGCGCGGGAGGCGCCATTAGTGGCCGAGCTACTGTTAGATTGGCAACCAGCTTTGCATGGAAATGTCAAGGAGAATTCGGGCAGGCGGACGTGCTAATCAATGCCCACCGTGATCGCGCAACGAAAGGATTTGAGTCTACAGCTGTGTATTGGTTCCGTCCAAACTGATGAGTAATGCCTATTCTTTTGGCTGCGGGGATTCTCATGACCTTGCGCCGCGGAATGATCTTTCCATGACCAAAACAAACGGCGACGGATAAATATCTCGAGCCAGGCAGGCCTCGATTGCCAAGAGCTCCCAAGTTGGCGCCGCAATTTCCGGAAAACCCATTTTGAGAGCTACTTTGCGTCGGTAGACTAATCCTTCTGATATACTGTTTGTATTTATAATAAGTTACGGAACATGTCCATTTGTTTAGATACCCTTTTGTGTATTATTGTCAAGGTTTGGCTCATGTATATGACGCGAGCAGGCATCCGTTGCATGGTCCCTCCCCCCTAGCAAATCGGCAAACCTGCATTCGCGTGGGGAAAAGTGTTACGAATCATGAACCAGGAGAACAAGGTATCAAAGCTGACACAAATAATGGTCATTGCGCAACTCACTACGAGAGAGACAGGCGCAGAAAAAGAAAAAAAAACCTCCGAAATGAGTGGCTTGCATGGGACTCCTTACCCAGCCCCCAAACTGATTGAGACACTGGTCCAAGCTCGCTGGGCGACAGAAAAAGATGAGATGGTTGGGGCCAACTTGATGAACGCCCAGGATTAATACTTGATCTGTCAGGCAACCAATTTTGAAGCCACGAGCCAGCATCGGTTGAGGCCCAGGGCTTTGATTGGTTCAAAATTGGCAGATGACATCTTTGTTGCCTGGCAGAAGCAGTCATCACGAGAAAAGTCTCTCAAACCTTTTCCTGTTGATATGTCGTTGCCCGTTGGCTGCTGGTCGCACCATTGACGGGAAAGCTAGAGCGCATGAAACCCAGAATCCAGGGTGTTCCTCAGTAATCTGTAACTTGAGAGAGAGAGAGAGAGGAAAATCATGTAGTACTGCCTGGTCATTAATCAGAGCTGCATTATTGCGTTTCGGTACCATATATTAATCGTGACTCGAGAAAATGACAAGTTCAAGCGTCCAACAGCGCAATTTCGCGGGTACAATGACTTGACTAAAAATCCGAAAATAGCCTTTTTCGCATCGAGCAGAATGATTAATACAGGAGAATATTGTATTTACAAGGCTGGGGTTGCAAGGTTGCTAGTAAGGAGGCCCCCCCCCCCTGAGGCCAGATTTCGTATTTCCTGCGTCATCGTCGCAGGGGTTTAATGATGTGCTCATTTTTTTTTTCGACTACAAGAGCCGTTGTCCACAAGATGCATTTTTGCGGGCTGTCCATCTAATCACAATAAAAATTACACCCCCCAACCCCCCCTTCGACAAACTGCATGCTGAAGGAGGGGAACTTGTTGCGTGCATGTGTAAACTCGTCTACTGGTACAAAGGCGTCCTGCAATGCAACGCAGAGACAAGAGCGCAACGAGCTTGACTGGGTAGGGAAAGAAAACAAAAATCAAGGCTGCCCTTCTGGAAGGTTTTAGCCATGGCGCCATATCTGCCAACTCATGTGAGCTCCTTCGTGTAAAATACCCTTCTTCTTCTTCTCACCGACTTGATGGTTGACGAATTCGATGTTGCGGATCGGCAACTAGTTTCTTAGTTTCACTTATTGTTGTTCGTTGTTTAGGCATCGACACCAGCTTTTGCCAATGTTTTAGTGGCTCCATCCGAAACTTTACTTTGCCTCGTGACGCTAACAAGTACCTGTCCTTCTTCCATTGCCGAGCCCGCCGTGCAAATCATCTCGATAAGGATACCTACCGTTGAGGAAAAAAAAAAAAGCCGAATAATAAGCTTCGCAGTGACTCACTAGAAGAATAAGAAGAAGCTATTGCCAACAAATAAAAGAGGGGATTAGAGAGGCAGACCGGGGGGGGGGGGGGTGTAATGTGGACCGATACCTGAGAACAAAGTCACTCCTGTCAGCCAGCCCTCGATAAGTTTGTTGTATAAGTGAGAAAACTTTCAGCCTGCGCTTTTGCCTCTGAGCAACAAATCCGAGACAAGGACGGGAAATCTTCTGCGCAGCTTACAAAGGCAAAAAAAAGTGAGCATCGATAGCTGACAAGCAAGACATTGGAATCCTCTGGCGCTACAACGAACTCGGGAACAAGAAGCGAGGGGCAGCAGGTCTCATTGTTCGAATTTAACGGCGCACCGGATTTTAACCTCTTCTAGCTCGCAGCCGAACAAAAGAGTTGAAAAACATAATACTAAAATGAAATAAAATAAAATAAAATAAAAATGGTGTCATTGCTGCCAGCAATGCCGCTGGTCGGCGCCGCCCCCCCACGGCCAGCCAGCCAAAACATGCGGTAAGGCTGGCCACGCAGCAAAAGCAGCAGGCAGGTGGAAGGGGGGTCGCATTCATATCCTACGTGGCTAGGCCGGTGCTCATTGATGATTTTAGGGGGGGGGGGCCGCCAGCAGCTATTGATAATTTAGCTGCAGCCTGGGCGAAGAAAACGAAACGAGGCGACAGGTTGAGGAACGGCCACATGGCACATGGTTGGGCGCCGCTGCATGTCAGAAACGGGGCCAACCGAACGGCTTTTCTGTCATCTGTACGGATTACGGATTACAGTTTAGGGGGCCCTGATGACGCTGCCGTCGGCCTCCGTCTCCGTCGAGAGTGCAATCATGAGGCTTATCCTCAAGTCGCGGTAGGGGAGCGTGCGTGTACGTGTGGTTGGTTGTTGAGACTAGCAGGGACTGGGAAGGGGGGGGGGGCATACGGACAGCATTCTTTCTTTCTTTTTTTTTTTTTTTTTTCTTCCGTGATAATGGTGCTGCTTGCGCGCGACCGGTCCTTGTCACGATTTTCACTATGCACACTAGATTATTATCACCGGACAAAATAAACGGGGGTGTGTGTGTGAGTTGGCAGCTTGTTGGTCTTGGCTTTTTCCATGGAGATGCCGAAATTCGTTTGTGGGAATTCCTTCAACCATGTCTAGTTCCGAGATTTCGTTTTTATGCTGCAAATTTTTTAGTTTTTTTTTCCTTGTTGCAAGGAATCAAAGGGGAGAAAAACGCACCGACCGGTCGGCAGTTTACAAACATGGTCCAAAAAGGTATGGAATACGGTAAACCACCCCCATCAATTCCAAGGAAAAAAGAGGTAGATTGTTGTGCGTGCGGCATATTCGCGGAATCAGCGACGGCGATAACGCGCGAAAAGAGGTAAAAAAAAAAAAAAAAAAATTTGGGCCATCACATCCCGCATTGACAAACGGCGATGCCATGCCGGCCGGCCGGCCGTCGGCAAACCTCCAAAAAAGTTGGAACAGTAAATAGGTAACCAACGGCTGCCGGCCCTGGGCAAAACCGTGTTTCACGTTCCGCGGGGGCGCGGGGAGGGCGGCAAAATGGCACTTTTGAAGAAGAAAGTGAAAAAACTCTAAAAAATTCTCTTTGTTGCAGGGTCTAATTGGACCGAGCCGGCTTACTCGAGCCGCATGGAAATAAGGTAATAGGCTCTCGTCCAATGGACAAACTCAACAGCCTGCAGCCCTCTTTCATCATCATCCTGCTCGGCCTATCCCGCACGAACAGAGTTTCTGATGCTTGTATCAGTCTTCAATCACTTGACCTGTTCATCAATGCAAACATGTAAGCATCGGTCAAGGGCGAAAAAAAAAGTTAGAAAAGAAGACCATGATCAAGTACGCCGTCATAGACTGGGCGCGTGCTAGGGATTATACGAGCTCGTCACTGCACACGCTGCCCGTGCTTTTTACTAATAAAGCTTGGTTTTCGGCTTCATTTCTCAAACAAGAATGGCCAACAGCCGACAAGGTTTTCCAAAATCAGGCAAGAGAGAGAGCGCGAAGTAGAGCCAAAAAGAGCAAGTTGCAACCCCGCAATCTCTTGGGGCAATCGAACATGGCCCCAGGTATCTGATTGGCATTGGACTTTGTAGGCCGACAGATGACACAAGACAAAAGTGATGAAACAAAAGTGACAAACGAGCACCGTCATCAAGGAGGGCAAGGGGGGTTTTGCTAATCGTAAGCGAGATGCACATCTTCAATCTATTTTGCTCGCGCAGTCTGAATCCAATGTCAGCCGCTATTTGCGCCGGCTCTTTGCCCGTAATGAGGTTATCACTTTTCTTTTTCCTTCTTCCCGCCCAGCTGTGCATGGATTGGATTGAACCCAATATCACACTGACTGGATCAATGAGCCACATAACGACGCTTTTTTTTCTTCCCGCGCCAATTCAGGCCGGTGTTTAGTTGTGGCTGTCGATAATTCCTTTTTTGTCCGTGTGCAGGCTGGCAGGTACCCGGCTTCCCAAGGGGCAAGCCGTCGATTCTCGGACCAAACACCAGCGTTGGCCACTTAGAAAAAAGCAAGTCAACCAAGTTGGAAGAACGCGATTCGTAACGACACTCCAGCACAATGTGGCTCAATCATGTAGTTGTGTCTTGTATTAGCTCCAGCTGAACAAGTACGTTTCATGCGGTAACAATTGAGGAATGCATCAGACACCAACGGTCAAAAGGGCGGGCACCACGACATCCGAGGCCGAGCCTCTCATGTACTCGGGAGTCGGTACTAACAAAATAGTCAACCAGCCTTGCATGCTGAAATTAGGGTCTCCGTATCGTGAGGGCCAAATGCTTCAACACGTTTTGCGTCACCGGCCATTCGCCGAATCATGCAAGCACTCACATCGTACTCAGTACGAAAAGTTTATTATACAGTTGAGCGTTGTTGATTACCGACACGGCGGTCACGCAAGGCCCCCCAACCATATAGTGCAGAGAACTATGTAGCTCGTGCCACAAGCCACAAGGCAAATTACCTTTTACCCCCACAGGGACTTCTCATTCGTCTGCCGTCTGCCGTCTGCCGTCTGCCGTCTACCGTCTTCGCCAACTCGTACCTACTCGTAGCCTTGCCAGAGGACAATGGGCGCATCTTTGATTAGCTGCGTCAGGTTAGTTGGGCTGCGTGCCCAGTGGCGGGGTGAATTAACCTGGCAGTCAGAGCCTCACAAGGGAAAAAAAAAAAAAAAAACTTCCACGGGCCTTCCATTGAGTGGAGAAGAGAAGCTTCAAAGTGGACTGGCAATCAAACTACTCGCGTGTTGGCAAGGGGTGTGCGCTTGGTTTCCACATGAGGCGCAATTACAGACAGGCGAGCAGGGTCGTCGACCAGAAGTTTGGGACACATAGCCCTGGCTTTGATGCAATTAGTGAGGCAAAAGCCGGTATGTACGGAGAGCAAGGACCCCTTTATCCGGAGGTGAGATGATGAGAGACGTGGTTGTTGGGCGCCCTCCCCGCTATCCCGATCTGGCTGCTTTGACAGCGGGTCGAAATTGACTCCTTTCACGTCTCGTTGCGTCTCTACCAGTAGGCTCGAAGCCTCCTCCTTTTTGTAGAGGCCGAGCTGCTGCTTCGGGTGTCGTGGACGGGCGGTGTGAACCGTGCCGGTACCTGAGTCTAAGCCATCTCGGGGCTGGCTGTTGTTCTGGCGCGTAACGCTTTTTGCTGGTCCATGTGTGTCTGTGTTTGTGTAGGGCCGAGGGTGAGGCCCTCCTTGCTACAGCCAACGCCCCAGACGTTAGTCCAAGCCCGGGCTGGCCCTTTGCAATGCCTATTTATCCGTACACAGATTGTCCCTCGTTGGTCAATCGGAGGACGAGGGGAAGCCGTATTATCGCCATCAAGCACAGCAATGCGACGCTGGGCATCGACCCCTAGCCCCCTTCTTGCCCGCTGGTTAGCTGTGTGAAGGCCTGGTCGCGACTAGTTGGGCCGGCAGGATGGCTGAGAAGTTGATGGTGAGCTTGTCTGGTATCGTTTCGTTGTGACGGTGTGCCTGGACGGAATACGGCTGAGCGGGTGGAGAGAGAACAACCGTGTCGACGGAGAGAATAAGAACAAAAATAGAATACGTAGATTCTGATACAAGTGACACACGTCCTTTTGCGCTGCCTGACAGTTAAGTCGTTGGGACGCGTTTGTATGAAAGGAAACGAGTCACATGGAGCCGGGCGTGCGTTTGACGGACAGCATGATACAGCACCGCTCCTACTTCTTGGCATTTTCGTCCTTTTTTTCTTGTTCCTCGTATGATGAAATGTGTATTGCTTTGTTTGAATGCCATGTATAATCCATTATCAGGTGGCTGCTGCCTCGATGATATGGGCTGATGTGTCTTGGAGATGAGGCGCAATACTTTGTAGTGTGACTAGGTAACTATGGCTGGCTGTAGGCGCTTTGTGTAACAGCAGGAAACACGATGAATCAGCAGGTCGGTCAAGGCGGGCGCTGTAACTAACGGGTGAGATTACCACATCAGAAGGAGAGACCCCTGCACGCTTTGGTGCAAGTCACGGGCGCCGCGTGGTGAGGCGTAGGTAAGACAAGTATGACGATATTTTTATCCAATTTTTTGATTCAATTATTGGCTTGCTTTTCAAGGCCACGCTGATAATATTGATTTTCTTTTCTTCTTTTCCTTGCGCCGCGTGGTTTCTCGTTGACTGCGTTTCTTTCTTTTTTTTTGCCTCGTCATTCTTTTGCCCATGACCCAGGGGTGGGTTGAGTGGGGATAGCGCCTGTTTCAATTTCCTTCTAGGGCTCCACTGGCTCTGAGCACCGCGTCACAGACTCACAGCGGTCGAGCTCTGGAGACGTACTAGTAAGCAGTTGTTGGCGGCTGTTACAGGTGCTTGATTGCGAGAAAATTACGTGGCTGACAACCAAGTCATACATACGTCTCTATTACCATTTTGTTAGCGATAAAGTCAAGGTGCATATGTACGCATCAGAGCATGATACGACATTGTGGCTATAACGCCAGACTATCAATCGTCGCATAGGTACAAGACGTATGGGGAAGACGGGGACTGCAACGGGTACGGCAACGATGCGGCTCGCACGGCAGAGAGTTGTTGTGTTGAATAGCACCTCATAATTTATTTCGTATCCGTAGTCGTGGTACTGGAAAGCATGATGTTGTTGTATTAATATTCTACCTGGGTAAATAGTACCCCCAAGAAGTAGGGCGAATAGCGTTGAGGGTGTTTGCTGGAGGGGAGACAGCCCCGTCGGGGCGCCTGTAGATGATAATGTACGCCCCTCTCTCCGCTGCTGGCCTGTACGCTTGTACGCACCCCTTCCTTGGAGGCGGTCTGGTAGGTACATGCAGAACCGGTACCCCGTAGTTGAATTACCTACCTACAGTGGGCGTTGGGGGCGCTTGATCGCACACTCAACAGGTCTTGCTGGCTGTGTCCTATTGACAATGTCCCTCCTCACTCCCCTGCCTTTACCCCCCCCCCAAAGACGCCGTACAACCCACTCCGTCATTCCGCACCACTTTACATTCTGTGGTAGCCTACCTGCACCCCCCTCCCCCCTCCCCTCCCCCCTGTCAGACCACTGGTCACTAACTGCCTTGGCCCTGCCTTTTTCGCCCTTTGGCTCCTTGTGCTCATCTCGCGGCCCTGTTGAATACATAAGGCTTACTTCTCCCACCTCCTCCGATGTTCAATTTTACCGTCCACGATACAACATCCACAAGCACCTCTTCAAAGAGATTACAAGTTCTACTTGCACTACTTCTCGCATCCTCAATCAACATCATCAACACTGCTACGCACAAGCACTCTGCTACTTACACCACCACAACTTCCACCTTACCACCTGCGAACCTCCACAACCGGCCGTTCGCAAACAAACAAATCATCACTACAACACAGCATCTGCATAGACTCGTCAAACCATCTTGCAACATGCCTGCTCAGCGTCCTTCTCACCTTCCTCCCTGCCCTGGGCCTCCTCCCAGCCGCCCTCTGCCACCTCTGCCAAAGTAGACACTCTCTCGACTGGCTCACCAACACCTCGATAACGACTCGGTCACGCTTCGGATATTCGCAACAATGGACTTTACTTTCAAGCCCACAATGCCCACGACAACATCTTCGCATATGGACAATCATCTCCACCTCACGCTTGGTGGCTTGATCAGCCCTCGACTCGACCACTGCATCTGCGGGTCCACACCTGCAGGTCGACATGCATGCCTTCAGCCTGCCTGCTGCGCGGCATCAAAACTCTTCCCTGTTGGCTGCAGGCGCCTCGCTGTCTCTTGTCCTGCATATTTGGTCATCTGCCCTCCAAGACCGCCTCCACAACCTGACATGGGACTTTTCCCTTCCGTCATGTTCACAGACAATGGTCCCTCGACACGCCACCCCATTTCTCGCCTGAGCTGCTGGGCGCGGAAATATCTGCTTATTGTCATGGGCAGTTCTCTGAACTGGCCCATGTTATGATTTGTCAAGCCGTGTCCTTGAACTCTCATCGAGGCCAATTCTTTCTGGACCAAGCAACCCATGTTTTCCTCTTGTTTTCATTCAGCATCTTACACCATCTTCGCTGGCTCGAAGCCTTGTTGGCTGTCTTGCATCTCATTTTTGCCCATTTTATTTCTTTTTTTTTCTACATTAAAGATTGTACAAGGAGCGTGCATAATATACGGAGGAAGGACAGCACGGTCCCCTTTCACTTGCTTTCATTGGACGAGGAGGATTTACACATTATACACTTGTACTATTAGACATCCTGGCGCAGGCTAGTATTTTTTTTGTTGCCCTGCAGTCAGGCGTTTACACGATACCGGAGAGCATTCATGATACACACATTCGGGGTGGGGGCATATAGAGCACGGAAATATCCAACACAATTTCTTCACATAAAGACCTGCTCGACTGATCACTTGGTGTAGACGTTGGTAAGGTACAAGATCTGTTGCTCTTCACTTTGTGGCTCCTCAATTTGTTGCTCCTCTTGGTTGCTGTGTCTTACTTGGGAGGCCTAGGTCACTCATCATGGAGTGTTGCATATGCAGGTCGGTCTGTTTGGTCGCCTTGGGGGCTTGGGATTGACGCTTTCTGCTGTGAGACAGCGGAACAAAGGACCTCGTGTCTCTCACGACTTACTTGAACAAGTCAGCCTCGCCCAGGTGCCAGCCAGCCATTCCGTCTGCCACCCCCGCGAGACGATCAAGCCATGTTTCTGTCCAGTCCGTCTACAGCTTGCCTGCAGCCGCTGGGGCGGGGTACATACGTCTTGCGTCCTCCCTCCCAATTTTGCCGGTTGTTGCTTCCTTTCCCTCTTCACGACGTCCCAGCAGGCACACAAAGCTAGTTGGCCTACTACTCCGTATCCGTAGTTTATTAGAGTTGCATCTGCGAGGGCAAGCAAAACAAAGTTCAGGCCCGTCGATCTATCTGCCCCTCTTCCCGCGCTGTTTTAGGACTGGGGTTGGCGCATGTAACAGTCAGCGTTTTTTTTTTTTTTGGCCGAGTTTTTGCCAAGCAGCCCAGCGAAACAACCAAAAAAAAAAAGATGACTGGTCTGAATGATGGACCATTGTAATGCCCATCTTCTCCTCCCACAGAGATACTAGTCGCCGGAAATGGAATAGGATGAAACGTGCGCTCGCGCGCGCGGGGTGTGAGGCAGCCAGGCCGGCAGCCTACGCCCATCATGATGGAAATCAAAATGACTTGGGAAGGAGTCGGCAGGATATTTAATACTTGCATCAGAAAAAAAACCACGTAACTCGGTCTCGCCGGCTGAGCTGCCTCTTTGGGCGGGACCTGTTCATCCACCAGCGGCCTTTGCAAGCCACTTTACAGCTGTTTACAGAGAGAGATAGAGAGAGGGGGGGCAATGGCCGCGTGCGTCTCAACGTCACGATGCCAATGTGGTCATGTAGGCCAAGGAGAGCGGATGAGACCTGCTCTCTTTGGCGTGCGAGATATAAAAAAAAACGCCTCACCGGAAAGTGACAATGGCACCTTGCAGGTCCGGCAACGAGATGAGGCTACTGAGTAGAAGCATGCGGCGTCAGTTCCGCAGCCCTTTTTTGTCTCTGCTGTGCGGCGTTGCGCGCGCGCGCGCGCAACGCCCTGTCGTTTGAAACAAGGTCACACGCGCGGCCAGTTCTTCAAATCGGTAAAAGGTTCTGCGGACAAAAGACCAAAAGGCCGAGAAAGAGGGAAATTGGTTCGCGCAGCCCATCGGAAACGCCTGAAAAGGGACTATGCATGTTGTTGCCCTTGGCCAATGGGGCAAGTAAGTGGCTTGCATGCAGTCTCACAGGGAAGAGGAAAACGGGCATCGCGCGTCCATCGGCGCCCGGGTGTTTCAAGTTGAAAACAGAGGTCCGACGAAGAGAAAAACAAGAACAAAAAATCCCGACAGGAGAAAAAGCGCTTCATCAATCCCCTCCCCAAAACGCCGATCGATGACGTTGTGGTACTGGGACTGCTCATTGGTACCGCTCATTTCCAGTTTGCGGTGGCTGATGTACCGGACAGGGGGCCTTGGTGGGATGCTCTTTTTTTTTTTCTTTCTTAATAAGATTTATACTTGCACGTGGGGAAATGACCAGTATTATCGTAATATTCCCTTGCGACATGGGCTTTGACGCAAAGCAGTGGCAAAAAAAAAGGGATACATTCTTCCAGCCATGTTTCGGACTTTTTGTACAAGTAACCAAACTAGCAACTACACCGCATTTCTCGTAATCATCACGACCCCTATTTCCAGTTGTTCGGCCTTCGCTGATTACTTGCGATGCAGACACCTCTCCCTGAAATAATAACTATATGATATTACTGCACGACGCCCCGCCCGTGATGAACCTGCGTGCTACTCCAAGGGGGAAGAGACTGCATATACCTGATCCTGCCTATATCGTTTATCCGGGATCGTGAGATATGCCGGGATGTCGTGGCTGCCGAGTTCCAACACAGCAGGTAGTACTCCGTAAATTGGCAAGGGATGAAGGAATATCACGATGGCTTTGAGAAAAATTCAGACATGTTGATGGCAATCTCCTTGCCTGCAGCAATCCACCGCGGCGACCGGATCCCTGAAAAAAAAAAAGCCCACATCGGCGACCACGATATCAGACACTGCGGAGAGCAGGGAGGGTGTGCACGGAAACGGCCTGCTGTCGAAACTCTTAATTTCATGACTGCAGAAGACGACAAGCCACTTCTGCAGGTTCTTTCTCCTCAGAATTAAACTATGCAAGAACCAAGAGATGATACTCCACAAAGCAGCTTCAAGTCGTCTTCCAACTTGTTTCCCGAGCGTAGTCCACCCCTGAGATTTGCCACGTCTCCCGACTTGGCTTTCTCTTAAGCCTCCTGTACCTGGTTCGTGTTCCTGGATTGCTCCTACTAGTCTGCGTTGAGGCAAGTGCGCTGGTAACTCGGCCGATTACACTAAAAAAATCGCCACCCCTCGCTCGTTTTGTCATCTCTCCCCTTTCTTCAACCGATCCAGTTCCAGAGGCAATCTACAAACTTTTGGCAACTTTGTGAACCGGCTCCAGCTGAAAAAAAAAAAAAAAACAAAAATGGGACGATTATGCATCGATCGAACTTTTCTGCCGGTCTAGCGAGATTGCTTGGGCGCCGATACTCTGTCGTTTGTTGCCAAAAGCATCACGCCACATAAAAATACCTAGTCGTCTGGCAACTTGAAGCCCCGAAAACCGTTTCGGGGATGGATTGACAGTGCGCCCTGCCCAAACATGGGTGGCTTGCCCGCCTGACTCGCCCGAACTGGTTCATCCGACGTGTGCCCAGGGACTGGGGTCGCATGAGTTGTGACGACAGCCACCCGCAGTGTGATGAAGCAAGATGCCGATAGAGTTTATTCACGATTAAGCAGGAGGAGGTTGGGAAAATTAAGTTCATGAGAAATGAGCAAGACAAACATGCCTCTGGGTTGGACAGGTCATGTGAAGCCAGTACCTGTTCCTCACGGTCTCTGGACGTCTAGCGGACTTGACTGGTCACCCACCGACCCTCCCTCGCCTGGCAAATCCGAACGCCGCGAGCTGAACAACAGGGCGTACGGTTCTGTGCGGCTTTCCCTTTCGTTAGGCGATAAATTGCTCTGGGGAATCGGCCATGACTCGATGACAGGCCGTTTACTAGTAAATGTTTGGCTGGCTGCCGGATTAAAAAAGATACATGTCGCCCTTGTACCTCACGGTGAAGGCGAACCTCGTTTATTCGTGCTTTTGCAACGTGACATACCACCCACCACTGCTTCTGTCTATATGTGGACCAAGATTGCCAAGATCCTCGGCAAATAGTGCCGTCTTTGTCGCGTCCTCATGCAACTAGACAGTCCGGATCAGTCGATTAATGAGACCAGAGAATCAGTAAAGCAAAGATGAATGCCAAACCTTACCTCAATGCTCTCCCACCCAAGAATGAAAACCGACAGCAGCCTGTCCATTCGCGGCAGACGAACGGCGTGCAGAGAAGAAGGCCCCGTCTCGCCTTTGACAAGTGTCGTGTTGGTCGCGAAGCCCCAGTCGCCGCCGACAAAGCCTAGCATGTCGAAGCAGTCTGTATACAACTTGTGCACAGATTCAAGAATGGCATCGTCCAGAACCGGCGTGTGCTGTTTGAATCGTAGAGCCGCCTGCCAAACGACGGCCTCTATTATTAGCTACCATCATTGATCGTCGAGGAGCACGCACGGCCCTTGACTAAAACGGTGCGCCAACTGCGCTAAAACGTTGAACACGTACCACTTCGCACACGGGAGCATCAAGTCCCGAAAGCAAGTCGTCGTGGTTGCTACCGTTCATCTCGACGGTCGCATCGGCAATCTCGCCGTCAACGAGCTCTCGGAACGATTCACGCAGGGGCGTGTCCCATTTCGGTTCCTGCGGCCACTCTATTCGAGCAAAGAACGGCGAGTTAATCAACACTACTCGTCGTGTTCTCGGTCTTCTCTTCACTGGGAATCAACTGGCAAAATGGGACATGCTACCCCTTCAGATCCACAGAGATATTACTTACGTATGATCCAGGTAATCTCGTGTCTCCGTTTCCGTGTCCGCATGGGTTTTCGCATCGAGACAGAGTAGCCAAAGTACTGGCTGAGAGCGCCGGCTTTCGCCACTGCATCGCGCAAGTCGTCAAAGGTGCCTACTGAGACGGTAGCATCTGATGGCAGTGTAAATCGTATGATCTGAGACCTCATATTCTAATCGAGATAGTGTTATTCTGCGGTCGCGCGCGATCGTACTTGGTTTCTTCAAATTGTTGGAACAACAAACCCCCCTTTTGTTGCCGTTTATTTATCTCTGCACTTGTCAGTCGGGGGAACAGTTGTGGCTGGAAAATGCATCAAGTCAAAACCGTACAATCTCAATGGCTGATTTGATTGTAATGGAACGTGATATCATGGTCGCCAAATTCTACCCCTCTTCGATCGGCGTGACCATCGCTCAGCCATTTAGGCTGCTGTGCCATCACGGTGGCAGTGCGTCACGTGGAGCAGGAGGTGTCGCAGCGGCCATCGCCCCGGAGCCAATAATGAAGATGACTTGGTATTCATCAGTTGATACCATATACATCGAAATTCCATAATACGTGTTTCAGATTGCGGTATCTATAGCCCCCATCAGGCGAGCGAGGGCGTGTAAGTCGTTTTGCTGCGGCTGCGACTGCAGAACCATGTGGGTGTTGAAAGAAGAAAAACAAGGCCCCTCTAATATCGGGACCACTATATAAACAATATTTTAGCCATATAGCCATAATCAGGAATCATTATATGATTATTGGCCTTGGTGTATTATGATCAAGTGCTTGGCTCTTTTGCAGTAACTATAGCAGGCACCTGTAGGCTGTCAGGCGGGGACAGTGGCAAGCCACCGACAGCGGCAACGAGCTGTTGCAAGGCCCCCGACTTCAAAACTAGACACTGAAAAGGTTCAACTTGAAATTGGGGAAAAAGTTCTCTCTGTGTGAAGCATTATCATTTTCCAAAGTTTTAATTGACAGGCTTAATGAAGGAAGGGAGCGAGCTGAACAGTGTATGCGCGAGCATCTTTCAACATCGGGATCGAGGAGCACACCTGGTCTGATCTGACATGGGGAACAATCTCACTAATCAATCATATTAATACGTGACACTACATGCAGATGAAGCGCCAGAGTCTAATATCTTATCAATAATTATGAGAGGGGAAAAAAATCCTTACGGGGCGACAAGCCCAGACTGCCCAGGCTGCGCGGTCATCGCAAAATACTTGCCCCGCTAAAATTTATCAAGCAGCCAGATCCCCTGTTCACCCCATCCGCGCGTATCAAAAGAAGGCTTCATCATCGCACCTGCTTCATCCACGACAGCTGCCAGACTCTCCAGGTCTATAGTGCGTGATGCTGGAGCTACACGTTTGGGGCCCAGTTTTTGGGGCCCCCTCTATTGATGCCGAATGCATCGCTGCCATCACATATCTACACAATGCGGTCCGGGATTCTCAGGATTACCGCATCGTTCCGAGCAACGACACCTCAGTGAGTCCATCAGGTATGTTCCGTTCATCTGTTTTCCCTTGCATCACACATATAGACACACCCTGTGGGCTTCAATACGTACGCGCCGCCGTCTGCATCGCATTTCTTCATCAATATTCTCCAAGCCTGCTTGCATATATGAAAACATTGAAGAATTGCCCCTGCTGACCTTTGCTGCGATTCCTCCGCTTCCCAAGGCTTGCTTCCCGCCTTGAACCATGACGGGGTTTGGACGAGCGGCTACGCCGCGATAGTAAGATACCTCGGCTCAAACGCGGCGCCGGCTGATGCTCTCGACCGCGACCTGGACGCCACCCAGCGGGCCGATGTTGCTGCCTACAGCGCCTTTCTCAGCATCCACGCCTCGGCCCTGCTCGACATCTCTCTCTACGTCTCGGCGGCCAACTGGTCCGCCGTGACGCGGCCCGCGTACTCGTCGCTGCTCCGATTCCCCCTGACGTGGACCGTGCCGCCGCTGATCCGCGCCGAGGCCATCCAGCGCGTCGAGCATCTCGGCCTCGCAGAGCTCGACACGGACTTTGATCCTCACGGCGGTCTGCATCTCACTGCGGGCAGAGACGCCTTGCCGGAAACGTTTCGCAAGCATCTCCCAGGAACGTCCAAGCACAAAAACACGGTCAAGGAGGAAATGACGCCTGAGCAAGCCGTTGCGATTCGCCTTTTTAGTCTGACCGAAAATTGCTTGGCCACCTTGGAAACTCTTTTATCAAAATCGGAGAAACCGCCGCGCTTCTTTCAAGAGCAAAGCACGAGGCAAGGCTTAACCTCGCTGGACTGTCTGGCTTTTGGCTATCTTGTTCTGATGCTAAAGGCCCCCGTGCCTCGGGCGTTTTTGAAGGATTGGGTGGCAGAACACGCTCCACACATCACCTCGTTCGTTGAAGATGTACTGGCAAACGCCTTTCCATCAACAAGCAGTATTGTGTGGGTTCCTTCGCCACGGCGCGGCCATCTTTCAGCCGCTGGCAGACTGCTCGACTCTATTGTTCGGCACATGCCCGTTCTCGGTGAGCATTACGCCAGCGAGGCACGCCGCCGCTATGAACGAAAAATTGTCGGCATCGACCGACGGAGCGTGTCGCTAGCGACGGGGCTGCTCTTCAGCGGCGCTGCCTTTGGCTACTTGGTGTATTGGTACCGCAGCCTCGCCCCGTTCGGCGCCCGCTTGCAGATTTGGCGTTCGTATAAATCCGGTAGCTCTCGTCTCAGTCAGTTTGGCGAGCTCGGTTCCATGCTTGATAGTGTTCTTGGGCCTGTTCGGCCTGCTGCGAGTCCCATGGCCGCTGGTGCTGGAACAGGTGGTCAGATTGTCGACATTGACTCAGAGGTTGACTGAGCGTGCTGCTTGGATGAAGGATCACACAAAAGTTTTATACCCCTCCTATTTTGTATAATATGTACTGTGAATCATGCATGGTTTGGATAGACAATGTACTTGTACTTTTATTAACGCCATTCATGCGCCTATGATCTTACAGCTGGATCGAGACCCTCGTCATACTATCCACACGCTTAGTCTTGTGCATCATTCCAGTTCTAAATTCTTGTATTTTTGATCAACCTCATCGCTACATTTGCTTTATCTCCTTGCCAATCAAATCGGGTCTCTCAATGTCGAGCTCGTCTCTCAGCACCGCAAATGCCAAGTCACTGACAAGCAGACTTTGGCCCAAACTCCAAACCAGCGTGATGGCGTAAAAGAAATTGGCGTTGCCGCTGCCCGCGTATATCCACAAATGGTAAAAAGCAGGGCCCAAAAACGACGAGTACAACACAATCGCCAAAGCGACAAAGCTGTAGCGCATCAGCGGGAACAGATGGCGATAGAGCGGGAGCATGCCGAGGAACAGCGTCGTGTCCGCAATCGAGGGATATGGCTTGAAGATGGCAAATATGCCCAAGAGCACCGAGAGCGCTGCAAGAGGCTGCTTGCGTAATCTAATCGACAGACCGCCAACATAGGCGCCAAGATGCAGCCAAAAGACGCCGAGGAAGAAGGCGCGAAAGGGGTCAAAGATTTCGATGAAAAAGTACCACCATAGACCGACGTTGGGGGTCAGGTCCGAGAGGGTCAGCTGGATGCCATAGGTGCGTGCGAAAAAAGCCCAGGAGTTACCTGTCAGCGCAAAGGACATGCCGAACAGTATCGCGAGGATGGTGGTTACAGTGCCCAGGCACGCAGCGGTAAAGGTCGGCGCGCTGGCAATGGCACGCCTCGCGGATTGACGATCGTATGCGAGTATAATGAGCGGCGGCAGAAGCAGGATCGGATACATTGACAGATACGAGGCAAATGCCAGAGCGACCATGGCGCTCAAGGCCGAGCCGGAGAGCGCCTTGGCGATGGCGTGGAGGACGGCGCATGTCGTAAAGACGCTGGTCGTGCGGCCGAGGCAGGTAGCGATGGTGAGGGGGTTGAATAAGAATCTGTCAATTGAGATTAGCATCTAGCTTCCAGGGAGCAGAATCCGTCGGATGCGACGCAAGTAAGGCAGAAGTGGAAAACGTACGCCGCGGCAATGAACACGCCCGAGGTCGTCTTGGCCCGTCGCGGTGAGGTATAATGTTTTGTTTGGCCGGCTTCGCCCGAGTCTGCAATGGTAGAGAGAGCGCTGGCGCTCAGCAGATCGACGAGGATATATAGAATCGCTGTGAAGATGGGCCACTCTCTCACATCGGGAAGCAGCGAAAAAAGCGGAAGCAGCAGAGGCGGCTGGTGAAAGACGCCACCATCGTAAGGATCGACGTTGTGGTTGTATAGAAACAGACCCTCTTGTACTACACCGAGGGTGGGCATGTTAGCTTCTGCGAGACAAAAAAAATCGTCAAGGCTTGCGCTCGCGCAATGGATCGAGTTTGCCGGGGGGAGAGGGGAGGGGGGGTCGAGATACGCACGTCGTCTGAAGCTGGTGACGGGGGTCGAGATCTCGACGCGGCCCGTCAAGAGGTCCGGCAGGCGGGGGAACGCGGTGAACAAGAAAAGTCGCAACAAAGCGGCGCCGACAAAGACGCCAGCCTTGTTCCGTAGCGCCATGGTTGTGGTCATGGCATGATCCCGCGTGGCGATTAGGTAGGTTTTTGAGCGGACGCGGGAGCAACGGGGGAGCAGCTCGAGGTTTGGAGAGCTTGCTTGCTCAGAGTGTCAAGGCCACTTGGCCCCTGCCTGTCAACGTCGTCGCGCTAGCGGGTCGCGTTAGCCAGTCGGCTGCCAGCAAGATGGGCGGCCGTTTCCATATCGAAGCGAAATATCCGGGAAATGTGAGGAATAAAAAATCTTACGTGAATTACAGAAACTGAGCAATCCATTGTAATTCAGATTGCAACGCACCTTTTCGTAATTATACACCGGTCTTCATATCCCAGTAGCTCACAGGACCTGTGTCAGTTATATAGCGGGGCATCCATCCCATCGATGTTCCGATATGGCTGCCATTGGTGACGGTAAACGAAAGCATTGGTTTACGTGAACTAGTAGACAGTGGCTCTACGACAAGCCAACAATAATGAACCCCCCTGGCATTCTTCTTATTCCTCCTATACTCGCGAATCCCGCACCGAGGTAGCTCCTCTGCTTCGCTCGCTCCAACAGCGGCCATAGCAGATCACGCTAGTCCTATCTTAGAAGCATGCTAAGGCGGTGGCTGCCGGCACGAAATTTTCTAGCGAAAAAAAGTTGAACTTTTGAACGGGCCGTCGAGCGCAGTCCGCGACTTCTTGCGCCCCGCCAGTTGTAAAAAAGGTTGTTCAAGGCAATTCTTCGCAACCACCATCACCGCTCACAATGGCTCGCATCAAGAGGAGAGGCGAGACCGGCGCCTCAAAAAACTTTGTCACCCGAAACCAGGCAATCCGAAAACTTCAACTCAGCCTACCCGACTTTCGAAAGCTCTGCATCTGGAAGGGCATCTACCCGCGCGAGCCTCGCAGCAAGAAGAAGGTCTCCAAGTCGTCCACGGCCTCGACCACCTTCTACTACTACAAGGATATCCAGTACCTCTTGCACGAGCCTCTTGTGCAAAAGTTTCGCGACACAAAAGCCCTTGAGAAGAAAATCTCCAAGGCCCTCGGCCGTGGCGATGTCAGCGATGCCGCTCGTCTCGACAGCAACGCTGCCCGTCCTGAAAAGACTGGAAAGCCCAATTATACTCTCGACCATGTCGTCCGCGAACGCTACCCTACCTTTGTTGATGCTTTGAGGGACTTGGATGACTGCTTGTCCATGCTTTTCCTCTTCGCCAATCTGCCCTCCACCTCGACCGTTCCGGCAAAGATGATTGCACGATGCGAAAGACTCTGCCTCGAGTTTCAGCACTATCTTATCGTCTCCCGCAGCCTCACCAAGTCGTTTCTCTCTATCAAGGGTATCTACTATCAGGCTAATATTCAGGGCGAAGAGATTCTATGGCTAGTTCCTTACAAGTTTACTCAGCGCGTCGTTGGCGATGTCGACTTCCGCATCATGGGTACCTTTATCGAGTTCTACATGACCCTACTCGGCTTCATCAACTTCAGACTATACACCTCAGTCGGCCTCAAGTATCCTCCCAAGTTCGACCTAGTCAAAGACGAGAATGCTGCCGAGCTTGGTGCCTTCACCCTCGAGGGCAAGACTCTAGTCGGCGGCGAGGAGCAGAAGCAGCTGGAGGACATTGCCCATCGCCCCGACCCAAAGGTCCAGGCTGCTGTCAACAAGGTTGTTAAGACCTTGACCGCCGGCGAGACCAATGGCGACGGCAATGAAGCTGCCGCCGAGGAAGACGAGGAAGACAACTCTGGGGCTCTCGACAAATTTGAGCCTGCTGCGCCAGGCGGTGACGTCTTGCTGCAGCCCGCTGCTAGTGGCAGAGGTCAAGGCTCCCTCTTTTCCAACTTCACCTTCTACCTTTCTCGCGAGACTCCCCGCCAACCTCTCGAATTCATCCTCAAGGCCTTTGGTTGCAAGCGTGTTGGCTGGGATGCCACTCTCGGCGGCGGTGCTTTCACCACCGACGAGCTGGATCCTTGCATTACTCATCATATTGTCGATAGACCCATTGTGCAGACCGTCACTACTGAAGACGTCGACGGCGAAGACAACCAGACTTCTCAAAAATTGACACAAAACCAGCGTGTCCCTGGTCGCATATACATCCAACCTCAATGGGTCTGGGATAGCATCAATGATGGCGAGCTCAAGGAGGCACACTTGTATGCTCCGGGCGCTTCTCTGCCTCCTCACTTGAGTCCGTTTGTGAAGAACGTGCAGGGCGCGTACGATCCCACAGTCCCTCTCGAGGAGCAAGAGCCCGAAAATGAGGCTCTTGAGGCCGATAGCGATGAGGAGATCGGGGATGCTGATGCTGACGAGACTGCTGAAGGCATGGATATTGCCGATGAGGACGACGAGGATGCCGATGAAGAGGATGATGCAGAGGACGACGAAGATGCTGACGAGGACGAGGAAAAAGAAGACGAAGAAGAAGACGAAGCCGCACAGCGTCAAGAGGAGCTGGAAGCCGAGATGAAGGGTACTTCTGTAGACTCCAAGAAGGTCAATGCCAAGACCAAGGCCAAGGCGGACGCCCGCAAAGCCTACTCCAAGAAGTCGCGTGAAGAAGCCGAGGACCTTGAGCGTGCCAAGGGCATGCTTAGCAAGAAGAAGCGCAAGCTGTTTGAACAGATGCAGTATACGAATAACAAAAAGAGTGCCGCTGATGAGAAGTTGCGAGCAAAGAGAAGGAGACTAGAAAAGGAAAAGATGAAGAAGGAGGCATCGGCGTAATTTTGGGCTGCATTTCTTGTGTTGTATAGCAAAACTCATAGATTAAATGTTCTAAATGATACAATCTTTCGATGAAGGATCTTCAGAGTATATCAGTCCAAGAGTTCCTTGCGAGAGTGTGATGATGGCTAGCAGTCATGACTTCAGGTTTGGCGGTTGGCATTTCAGCATCCAAGACCAAGCAAGCTATTCAACGTGGGGCTGGCAAAACCCCGTTGCGCTTTCACCTTGCAACACCACGGATGTTCACCTCACAGCCACCGCCTATCACCGGAGAGCTCTTTAAAATGAAGAAATCAAGGATACAAGTTGTCACATGCGCAATCTAAACAAGATATATAGATTTCAACCAAGTCCTGGCGCATGACAGTTCCACCACGCCACGATGTCGCAACACGAGGCCAACTGGGATCTCGACAGCGTCGAGATCGCCTCTATCGCATCGGAAGAGCTCCACGAAAACAGACCAAACCGCTGGAGAGGATCGAAAGCGACTTGGCGTTACGTGACTGAGGAAGAGCGCATGCTTTGGCGCTCAATGAAGCAATTGCAGGATGAAGATTTGGGCGTGCACCTTTACAATGCCTTTGCGCTGAAGAAACGCGCGACGAATCCAGAGTCTGCCGAAGACTTGGCCATTAAAAAGGTGTTTATCTTTTAGACAGCCTTGATTTTTTATATCCCCATACTAATTTACCGGCAGGAGGATGGACAGGAGGATGGACGGGAGGATGGACAGGAGGGTGTCTGGGTGCCGCCAAAGACGTGGACGGCTTGGCCCATGCGGCAGAAGCATATACCGCCCGCTGGCCTATTCAAGGACGAAGGTGATGGGGATGATGAGTTTACTCTTCGGCGCCAGGAAAAGGTTACGCCAAGCTCTGAACTGAGAGCAGAACTGACAGCCACGATTCTACGGCTCGCGAAGGAGCGCTTTTCCCGTCGTAAGCCGCCTCAGCCAGTAGAGCCGTCCATCGAAACTCCGGCTTCGCCTCGTCTAGGCGACAAAGGCAGCGAGCCCTCTGACGAATCAGAGACTGAACCTTTGTCTCATCCCACCGTGAGGCAGGCCACTGATGTATCTGTTATTGACGATGAGCAGTCCACTTCACGGAGCGGCAAGAAAAGTGCCGGCAGAACGTTAGACCCCGTCGTCTCAACGGATGATGATTTGTCGACGTCACTGCTCAAGCCATCCGTGCAGCACATCCTAACACAAATGGACAAAACCCTCACCATTTTACACAATGCACGCGTGGCTGGTCTCAGCTACCTGTCCGACTCTTCGGAGACGGAGACGGAAGATGGATCAGACGCAGCCCAAACGCCGACTGGAAAGCGCGGTCGCGGCCGTCCGCGACTCCCACCGCAACCTTCGTCTGAAGCCTCTCCAGGCGGTTCGAGATCACGCCGCGGGCGACCTAGGATAGTTCACATACCCGAGCAAGGCGAAACACAGGAGCAAATGGAGCAACGCCTTGCAAAACGCGGCCACAGACGCCTGCCCGCCACCGCAGAGGATCGTGAGGCGGCGTTTGACAAATGGCTACGGCAGGGCGACGAGCGCGTCGCGCGCGAGCAGCGCAGGCTCCAAAGCCAGCCCGTATCCGAAGAGCCGGAATCGCACGACGGCGACGATAGAGACCGCATGAGCAACGAGGACAATGATGAAGAGGAGGAGGAGGCCAGGACTAGTGCAGAGCGCAAGATTCGGCGATGGGGGCTCCGCGACTGGAGCGACGTGGTGGGTGCCGCCGCGCTCGCCGGATTCCCACCGCAAGTCATCGCACGCACCACGCAGCGCTGCGCGAACCTGTTCGGGCAGGGCATGGTCCTCACGCAAATCGACGAGGCGCCCGCAGCGCGGGCCAGCGCCAGCGTCCGCACCACCACCTACCGGCCGGAACGCATTCGTCTGTCCTCATCCCCCAGCGACAGCGACGACGGCAATAGCGATGCGAACAGCGAACCCAGAGCCAGCCTGCGGCAGCGCCGCATCGCGTCCCGCCAAGCATCTCTGGCGCGCTCCAGCCGCGAAGCAAGCACGAGTGCCTCGCGCCGAGGCCGGCGAGTCGCTGCCGCCACCTCACCGCACAGCCCCCAGCCTGGCGGCTCCTCGCGGTCCTGCTCGCGCTCGCGGTCGCGCTCGGCGGCGGGAATCCTCTTTTGCCCGGTGGCGTCGTGCGACCGCGCCGCAGTGGGCTTCACGCGGGGGAGTAACCTGCGGCGGCACATGCGGCTGATGCACCTCGAGCGCGACCAGGATGCCGTCGGCGGCGGTGGCGGCGGCGGCGCGGCCGAGGACGAGGACAGCGACGACGAGACAATGGGTGCGGTGCACGTCGACAGGTTCCTGCGGACCATTAACCCGGGCAGAGGCTGGCGCGGCGAAGACGTGCTGAGCAGGAAGAGGAGGGGGACTGCGCGGTCGCCGACACCGCCGGGGAATCGTCCGGCCAAGAAGGCGGACATTGGATCCTCTGGGGACTCTGAGTAGATGAATTACTAGGGGACTCGAATTACTAGGGCACAAGCCATCTTTTGGATATCAGAAGCTACTTCTTTCAACGAAGTGAAATCCAAGCCCCCATCTAAGTGGGCATGCACAACAAAGTCTGAGAGAGTACAATATACAAAATATGTTACTATTCAGGCTGTAATTTCCATCACAATCACTCACTGCCTTTATCCCTCTTCTTTTTCAATTGTTGAAACGCAAGCCCCAGTGCACCGTCACGCATGCAGACAAGAAAAAACAGCAGCACCCAATGAAACAGTTGAAATAGCAAAGAATGCACATGCAAAGAAAACACGAATGAATGTCTGTAAAAAGAAACTTTTATAGAAAAAAATAAAAAGGGGGGGTATCTAAAACAAGCACTGCAACTCGTCCATCCATCCATCCATCCATCCATCAAGCGCATAGAAACCAACTCTGCTGAAAAAAACAACCACAACAAAAACCAAAGAGTGCCGAAAAAATGAACCCCATCCCATGAATGTCTCTGTATATGGTGACCATTACCGAATTGAACAAGGAGCGACCAATTTTTATTTTGGTTCCAAACAAAACGCTGCATCTCCCTCCCCTCTTCGCCGGAAAAGAAAAGAAGAAGAAAAAAACCCGACAAGAGAGCTTGTTCTGTCCAACCCCTGCCGTCGCCTCGTCGTGAGAATTGGTAGAAAAAAAGATTTAGTCTCGTGTGTGTTTCGAATAAATGTGTACAAGATGTAGAATGTGTGTCATCGGGGTGTCTAGCCCTTCTTCAAGGAGCCTTGTCGAATGGTGATGATGTTGTTGGTTTCATCTGAGCATCAATTTAAAGAAAAGTGTTTTATTTGAGTCGTGGGCTCTTTCTCTTGGAGCCAGCCGCCGTTGTCAGCGACGGCGGAACATTCTCTCGTCCCTCCGCCGCCACGCCCGGTCTCTTGACAACCGCCGCGCCGCGCACACTTCTAGTGCTGCGCTTAAACAGAGGCATCGTCGCATTCTCCAGAGGCATGGTGTTCGTTGCGCTGCTCGCGCGAGACTCGAACCCTAGCAGCGGCGCCGGTGCCGTCAGGTTTGACGTCACGTTGGGGTTGACTTCGCGCAGACTCGCGCCGAGCTGGTCATGGTCAGTAACGGGGCCTTCGCTGGGGGTCGGGGTCGGGGCCGGGGCCGGGACCGCCGCTGCTGCTGCCATCTTGGCAGAGTTTGACGGGCCTGGCGAGGAGGAGCTTGCCTTGATACGGGGCGCCGGCTGCTGCGACGGCGACGACAAATCGGCAAAGACGACAGTCTGGTCCTGGTCCGTAGAGCGATCCATCACCAGCGGCGATGCCGGTACACTCTCATCCTCCTCCTCCTCCTCGTCGACAAGGCCCTCGGCAGTATTTTTGGTCCGCGGCAAGACAGTCGGATATTGGTACACGGCCTTTTGAGGCGTGTCGCCCGTTGGCTGGTACTCTTGGAGGGTGGTGTTGCAGATGCTTTCACGCAGATTCGTCAAAGGCTGGCACAGTTGCGACTCGAGCGGTTCTAGCGCTTCACGCATGTCGTTGGTGTCAAGCTCCATTTCCTCGCCAACATTCTTGACCCTGTCGAGCATGGATTTGAAGTGGGACGAAATGTTGCTAAAAGACTGCTCAACAGTGTTGGACAGAGCTTGCACCGACTGTCCGTGGCTCTCGTGTTGTGTCGTATTCTCTGTGCGGGCATGAGTGACAAAGTCATCGAGTGCGTGCATCTTGGAGCCCAAATCGTCAATCTGCTCGTCGACCACACGCACTGTCTCGGCATGCACCGACTTGGCAGTGTTTTGAATCGCAGTGCTCTGCTCGCTGGTAGTGTTCCAATCATCCTTGAGCTTCGTCTTGAGTTGCTCGCGAGACCTTTTGACTTCCTCTAAAAGTTCGCCTTCTTTCCCATCCCATGAGTCCATGCCCTCATTGTATTGAGTAACGGCACCTTCCAAGGTGGTACTGGACTCTGTAACTGATTTCTGAATATGCGAGACCTTGTCAGCGAATCTCGCTTCTTGCGTCTCGGCTTGTGTATTGATCAAAGTCGTAATCTGAGCGAGCAGCTTCTGGCGGTCTTCTGCAGCTTGTCGTCGCTCTTCGTCAACGACTTCTTGGATACGTAACGCGGTGCCAGAGCTCTGCAAAACGGCCGCATTTGTTGCGTTTTGAAGCTGGCGCCGAAGGTTGTCCGACTCGCTGCGCTGGGCCGTGATGTGTTTAACAAGGTCTTCAAATATGAATTTAAAGTCCTTGCCTAATGAAGAGTAAGAGTTGTGTAGGTGTGTGTGCATATTACCCATCTCGGCAACGACATCGGCAGCAATCTTCTCCGCAGCGCCAGAGATTACCTGCAAGCTCTCGCTCACGCGGTGTTTCACGCTGTCACGAATGACATTGATTTCTTCGAGCACCTCATCCATCTCATCCTTGGAACTTTGCTTTTGAGCTAGCAAAAGCTTCTTTGAATCGGCAAAGGCGCTGAGTTGTTCGTCGAGAAAAGCCTGTGTAGTCGATAGCTTCTGGAGTTCTTCCTCGACAAACGTCGCCATGCGTGTCGAGATACTGTTGATGTGTTCGCTTTGTTCATCCTGAAAGTCGGCGACGCGGCGCTCCACCATGGACGTGACATCGGAGACTTGTATTTGCGAAGTGCTCCAGGCAGCCCTATTGATAGATTGTAGATCTGATTTTCGCTTGTTCTTCGCGTGTAGTCCACTGACGTCGTGAACTGTTTTTTGGAGCTTATGAATGAGTTCACCGCCAATCTTGGACAACTTTTCTTCCGTAGCCTCGTGGGCTTTGCGTAGCTCAGTCTCCTCGGCAAGTGACTTGCGCGTCATTTTGAGCACCATTTCTGCATCGTGAAGCAGGCCCTTTGTACTATCGAGCTGCGACCGAGTGCCCTCGTGATCCTTCTTCAGTCCCATAAACGAAGTGTTCAAAGAATACAGCTCATGCGTTTTATTTCGGAGGTTCGTCTCAAGAGTTTCAATCTTGGCACCTTGCTCCTCGGCCACGATTCTTCTCGACTCGCTTTCCGCCGTCATCTCCTCGTACATTTCATTTGACAAATGGACACCATCGCGCCGCCTTGTAGCGATCAATTCAGTCTTGAGCTTCTCAATCTCAGCAGTGAATTCTTTCAAAAGCATCTTTTTCGGTATGGCATTGAGCTGTGGTCTGTTTCGAATGTTCTTTGCGCGGAAAGCATATTCGAGCGTCGATATCGTTTCTTCCAAGTTACTTTTCGCGGGGGAAAGTGTAGCGATGATGCAAGTCTTTGTTCGGCCACCAAGGGAATCTTGCAGAAGTCGGGTGAGTTTTGATTCTCGGTAGGGAATGTGTGCGCTGCGGTCGACGAGGGCGTTGATGACGCGACCAAGAGTCAGCAGCGATTTGTTGATGAGGCCAGCCTCGGCAGCACGCTTGTTTTCAGCACCTGAACGCTGAATGTTTTCGCTACCCGCAAGATCAACAAGATTAAGTTTGCCCGCGCTGATAAGATCCTCGGTACCGTTTTCGTTGACCTTTTTGACATATGCGGTAATGGTAAAAACGGTATGACTTCGTGAACTGAGGTCATTACATTTCGTGGCGGCGACCTGGCGTTTCAAGCTGCCATCCTGTAGCACCTTGATTCCCTCGCTCGGGCCTTTGATGTGTTTTTCCTCCATGCCCTGGACCATGGTGCCGGCATGCCCTTTTCGCGACGCGTCGTCGTATATTTTGAGTTTGGCAGTCTCCTCTACCGAGAGCAGATCGCGCAGCTCTTCGTTGTATAGCTCAATAAAGGAGACTTTGACGCAGTGCTCCGTCTCGTCAAGCTCGAGCTTTCTGAAGAGCTGTTGGAGCACACGCGGGATGATGCCAGCTTCATCAGACAGCATGCCTAGCGTCTCCGTCATGTCGCCAGACATGGTGTACGTCTTTCCTGTGCCCGTCTGCCCGTACGCAAAAATTGTACAGTTGTAGCCGGAGAGCATTTCGTCGAGGATTGGTCGAACCGTGTCGTCAAAGATCATTTCCTGGTCTGCGGCGGACGAGAAGACGCGGTCAAAGGAATATGTCTTGTTGCTCAACGAATTGGGGCCCATGGACAGGTCAACCTGGCTTCCCTTGAGGCCGTCAGCCTTGACGACGACAGCGCTGTTCTCCTTGACCTCTCGTGCGCTGCGACCGCGACAGCGGACCACAACGTTAATGTTGGTCTCCTCGCCGCCAAAGGTACTCATCCGGGAACCCGTGTCCAATTCGTAGTCGCGCTCTTTGCGCTTTGCGCTGGTAGTCATGTTGGACATGAGAGAGTCGGCGGGCGATGCTGCGCCGGCGCGGATACCGTGGCGCGCGGTCGATGTTCTCGTCGTCGAGCGAACGGCGGGGCGGCTCGAGACGCGCACGCTCGAGCTCATTGTTGACCGGCTTAGCTCCCGGTCGGAGCGTTGTCGTAGGTGAGCCAGCTTGATCGATTTGTTCGTGTCTGGTCCCGGATTGCGACGCGTCCGGGACGCCGGAGAGGAGGGCGGGATGGTGAGAAAAGCTATGTTGTTTTGTGTCCTGGTATAATTTCCGCCGAGCCAATTATTCGAGATGGTATGCTCGAGATGTTCGCGTTAGATGGAGCATTGATATTAACCCCCCAGTATGCAAAGAGCAAAGTAGGCGTAGGGTTTCGAACAGTATGTGTGCACTGGCAGGGAGGGGTTCTGTGCAGCAGCTGGATCAAAGGTAGGTAATTAATAAGTTAGGTGTTGTGCTCTTGGGTCGCACCATGTGTATTTCTGCACAAACGGGTCAAGTCAATTGACGATAACTGGCTGCTAGTGTGGAGCCACTCGGCGGATATCAACACGGACTAGCTGCGTCTCCCCAGCAACCGTCCAGAGTCAGCCAGCAAGCACCGCAGCGCTATCTGGAACAAGATACATAGGATTATGACGGCTCGGAATTCCTCATACATCTACAAAACAGCTCAGTTCTGTCAAGTCTGTGCCACTGTCTGTCTCTTTGAGATGAAGCAAGTGAGTGGGTGTTTTCTGCCTACCTAGGTGTGCTAGGTACCTAGGTAACTACATTCGTCATGTCTATAGTTATTCGGATATCGAGGTAGCGGTCAAGCGTGGTCGCGATGCAACAATAAAATAAAATACAATTCAAACGGCGATAGTATATACCAAAATGTATCGATATTTACATGCAAGTGAAAAAAAAAAAAAAAAAGAGACTCTTGCAAGATCAAAAGCACCAAATCAAATACTCCACTATTTCAATGCATATGCAACAACATGTCTATAAGAATGCACCAAGTTGAGTCTCGGTGCGGATATATGCAGTTGAGACTCCAAAAACGGTGTCGCGCATGCAATTTTACTTTTCAAACGTTTGCGTCATGGGAGAAAATTCCCCGGTTTCTTCATCGCTGTTTTCCTTCTTCCCCTTGACTTCAGCCGTGAGTGTCTGCAGGCCGGTCTTGTGTTCGGTATGCTGCTTGGACAGGGTGTTTTGCTTGATGAGAAAACTAGCAAGGAACCCGAGGAAACAGCTGCACGTAAAGACGGCAAACATGATCTGGATCGAGTTCCAGTAGGCAGTCTTTACTGTTTGACGGTCATCCACCGGCAGCTCTTTGATACGGTTCACATTGGACGCGGCATCGGTACCTGCAAACAAGCGGGCAACATCGGCGCCAAGCACGGCCGTCAGGTGGCCCTGCTGAGCCTGCATCCTGTTGGCAATGACGACGCCGCCGACAGCGACTGATGTGGCTGTGCACAGCTGGCGTACAAACTGTAGACTAGACGTGGCGGCGCCAATGTCTCCAGGCGCAACATTGGCCTGTAGAGCGATGAGGGGAGCTTGGAAGTTGGGGCCGATACCCAGGCCGGCAATCATCTGAAAGAGGACAATGCGGTCCCAGTGAGGACGATCACCGAGATACGTAAAAAGTCCAAAGCCAAGAGTGGAGCAGGCCAGGCCGCTGGTAATGACAATCTTGTATTTGCCAGTTTTGTTGATGAAGAAGCCGATAAAGGCAGACATGAGCGACATGACGGAGACAAAGGGCAGCAGATAGACACCAGAGAGTAGCGAGTTGGCGCCGAGGACTGACTGGAAATACAGAGGCATGTAGTAGCTTCCAGAGATAAAGGTAAAGGCGTGCAACGACGAGGTGACATAGGTGGCGATGCTAGTTGTCGTGTTGAACAGTCGCATAGGAATGACGGGGAACTTGGCGACGCGCGATTCGTAGACGAGGAAAATGCCAATGGTGACGGCACCGAATACAATCAGGCAAATGACCGTGGCCGAATCCCAAGGAAACTGGCTGCCGCCAAATTCCAATCCCATGAGCAGCATGATGGTGCCGCCAATAATGAGGACATTGCCGACCCAATCAATAGCAGCCAGGCCAGCCCCGACGGGCGTGCGGGGGTTGTGCAGCTTGAGAAAGAAGAGGAGGATAAAAAAAGCGAGGCCGCCGCAGGGCAGGTTGATCCAGAAGCACCAGCGCCACGAGACCCTCTGCGTGAAAGCGCCGCCGATGATGGGCCCAATGGCCGAGGCGAGGGCCCAAATCATGCCGAGGAAGCCAAAGTAGACGCCGCGCCTGCGCGGGGAGAAGAGGTCGGCGACGCAAATGTTGGGCAGGACAATGGTGCCGCCGCCGCCGACGCCCTGGAGGGCGCGGGCGGCGATGAGCATGCCCATGCTGGTGCTGAGGGCGCAGACGAGCGAGCCGACCCAGAAGACGACGACGGCGGTCATGAGGATGGGCTTGCGGCCGAAAATGTCCGACAGCTTGCCCCAGGTGGGCACGAGGGCGGCGCTGCCCAGCATGTAGGCGCTGCCGATCCAGACGTAGCCCGAGGTGGACTGGAAGTGGGCGGATATGGTCGGGACGGCCGTCGTGACAATGGTCATGTCGAGGGCGGCCAGGAACAGGGCGATGCAGAGCGCCACCATGACGAGCGTCGTCTCGAGTTTGGTGCGCTGCGCCTCGGGGGTGGTGGTGGTGGCGGCGTCGGCGGTCTCGGGGAACTCGGCGCCGTCGTCGCCGTCGGGAGGCGTCGAGGGCGGCGGCGACGAGCGGTTGGTGGCGGAGGACGCCTCGGCGAAATGCTGGTGCTGCTGGTCTCTGGAGACATTGTCTCGGGTCGGTGACGGGAGAGTGGCGGATGTCTCAAGCGTCGTCGCATAGCCGTCTGCTTTCTTATTTATATCGACATTGGTCGTGGTGCCGTCTACACTGCGACGGTGAGTCTTGGGCAACATGGCGGCGAGTCTTTCTTTCTTTTTCTTTTTCTTTTTCTCTTTTTCTCTTTCCTTTTCAAGATAGAGCCAGTGTTTGTCTCAGCATGCAGTGTTGTCGTGTGCGACCTGCATAGTGCGACAGCAAAAAGACAAGTTCAACTTGTGCAGAAATAAGAGCGGAATGCTGAACGGCTCACGACGGATTATTAAGGAGTTAAAGGGCAATAGCCAACCGTCCAATAGTTATAGAAGAGGAAAAAATATCAATGGTCAGTGACTGACTAGCATGGGCAAGCGTTTCGTGGTGGATGCGCCGTGGGGGCAGGATTAATAACTTTTCCCACTTTGGCAAGGACCAAGTTCGCCATCTTTTCCTACATCTGTACTGCCAACGGGAGTGGGATGTCCGACCTCCGACCTCCGACGTCTCGCGAGGTCTTCTTTGTTCAAGCCACCTTTTTGATATTTATACTAGAGAAAGAGAAAATCCATTTTATTTAAATGGCGATATACATCGTGTCAAAATATTCCCTGCAGCCTTGATTTCACCTCGTAAGAATTCATCATCATTCTTCGTCACTTTTGCGCTGATGGCAGCAACCCCCCGTTGTGGATCTCGCCCATTCCGAGTTAATAAGTTACAAACGGCGGGTGGGCCGCTGCCGGAACTCTAGCAGTGCAACGAGTCAAAGAACAAAAAAAACAGGCAATGACACATGGCGTAGGGCTCATACGATTCCACCAATATGAAATCTAGATTCCGCCATTTTTTCCCCCCAATTATCCTGCCCCCGAGTCACAAATTGAAAGTCTCCGAGTCTGCTCGCCCGCCTTAGTCATGAGCTTTGTCGTGACGACTCTGCAAGCCACGCCGACGACGGCCGGAAAAAGTACCCACGCCCTTCCCGTCGGAGGTAATAAAGCCGGAGCAAGCCCCTCAGCTGCCTAATGCGGTAGTCCTGATGTTATTACCCTGCAAACGCCACCTGCGGTGAAATGCAGCGACATGCAGCCAAGGGAAAAAAAAACCCTGACATGAATACGTTGCAACTATTAATGCAAAGCACGGACGTTGCCGCAGTCGAAATGAAAAGCTTTGTTTCGTGACTCGATCGACCACATCGTGTGGCAAGGTGCCAAGGTGCCCAGTCCGATCAGGTGGCTTTCCCCACATATGCATCCCTAGCCTCAAGGCCCTCAACACAGCCTAATGAATCGCTCGAATCAACGTCTCAAAATATGATATATTGATACCAATCTTCCATGTCTGTCTGTGCCGTATATACAAGGGGGAAAAACCCCTCAACGCCAGATCAAAACGCCAAGCAAGACAGAAAAAAACCTCAAATCCAAACGACAGGACAAGGCAAAATGCTCGCATGCATACCCAACCCCGCAAATAGCCCTACAGCCTCATCGAATCAGAAAATCGTCACCGTATTAATGTATCCATTCTTCAACACCTCAAATACCAGCCCCGGAAACCCGTACAGCGTCGTCGTCGAATCACTGTTCGTTTCGGCGCGCCGTGCGCCGCTCTCTTCCCATCCGCCCAGAAACTCGCAGCTGCTGCCCGGACTGTTGCCCCAGCCCCGATTAAGGACCATACCCCGCTGCCGCGCCTGGGACTTGCCCTTGACAAGCTCGCTCGCCCACGTCTCGTTCATCAACGCCTCGACGTGCTCAAACTCCATCTCCGACGTCACCGCCTGGTCCTCCCGGCCGGGATAGACAATCTCCCAGCGACAGCGCCTGTGGCGGTTAAACTCGTACGACCCGGGAATGTTTCCGTGCAGCACAATCTTGGTCGCTACCAGCCGATCGGCGTGGTGCATCTTGACCGCCATGGGATCCAAGAGTCCGTTTGACTGGCCAGGTGCGGCCTTGGATGGCTCTGTGGGCTTGGAAAGCAGCACATCAAAACCCATGTAGAAGTAGTTGTAAAAGCATTCCCCCGAAGGATTGACTGCACTCTCTTCATTGACGGCTCGCTCGTCGTCGGAATCGTCCGAGCCCGTATTCATCGACGACTGATCCGTGTCCGTCATCATCTCCTCCGCGCGACCCACATCAGCACCGTCGCTTCTGCCTCTCGCTGTTCCTGCTACCCGTCCTTGGTGAACATCCATCTTCTCGTCATTCTTCCGGTAGATGGCGTTTGGGGGCCCCAGCTCCATAACGAGGTCCTGAGGGGTAGTCTGGCCCAGCTGGATGCAAAAACCGCTATTGGTCCACTTGCGAAACATTTGCAGCCTGCCTCCTCCATGTATTCGAACTAGTGACACCTCATCAGGATAAACGTCTTTGGTCCTTGGAAAAACAGTAGTCGATTTGACGCTGGGCAGCACTTCCGTCCACAGCGTGGGCCGAGCATCGGCCCAAGATTCTCCGCTGAAGACGGCCATGGACGTTGCAACTTGGCTAGACGAGGCTGACAGCAGCGAAACAAGATCCTTATCGGGGGAGTATGCGGAAGCTGCCATGGGGAAATTGAAAGCCACTCCGGGATACGACAGCACGTAGATGCCCATGCCCTGCCTGTTGCTCGACGACGGGATGAACTCGCCGGCATAGGTCGGGCCTAGCAGGCGCTGATATATGTGTCGAAAGGTCGGGCCTGAAGAGGACTCGCCAGGGATAGGCGACCCCGGATCCGAGGTGCTGTTGGGAAGCCGCACCAGGTCGCGGTCTTTGAATGTAATGCGATTCTTGGTAAAGTCGGTAATTTCGATCAGCCGCAGCCGCTGCTCGGGGCCATCAAAACGGAGCCGTATGCCATTTTGCGGCAGCAAGATGCAGACTGGATCTTTGACGGGTCTTTCTGTCGAGTGCACAATGTCCATCTTGGGAAACCGCTGCGGCTCAGCTTTAAGCCGGGTCAGGACATCATGGAGAGAAGCGCCGAGAACTGGCGCAAGTCAGCCAACACGGTGCAAGATGTGCAACACTCAGTACACCAACCTAGAAAGCCCAAGGCTCGCCCGGGATGCAGCTGTGCGGTGAATAGCGACATGCTTGTGGACATGGCTGGCTGGGCCGCGCAAGCGGCCGTTTGGCGGGGTAGGTGCGGATAACGTGTCGAAGCTTTAGCCGCCAGTGCATCAAGGCGTAGATTCGGTTGTGTCTTTGTCCGTCGAGGGGGCGGGATGATGATGCGAAGGTAATTTTAGCGATGGGTTCAAGCTTGTGGCATGTGAAGGCGGGACGAGTTGGCCCGGCCAATACACCTTCAGGGTGATGTCACGAGCTGAATGGATCAAGCGACGCGCTTCACCCTTTCAACCCCGCTGTGAGGTGTGAGCCGCATGACACAGACTGGTGTGCTTGGCTGCCTACAGGCTACAGCCTACAGCCTACAGCCTACAGGTGACAGCTGGGCATGCGCTGACGGGCATTTAAATGGGTAAGTGGGGCAGTCTGGATTAGCTAATTACAAGGACACCAAAAGGATGAAAAATACGCGAAAACACCGGCCGATGGTGAATGGATTAACCGACCCTGAGATGTGTATATATTAGCAGTCCATGCACAGATTTGCAACGCTAAAAGTGCAAAGCCGGCCCCCCTCTCCACGTCTCGTGTTGGTGCGTCACCCACAGCAGCCTGGTGCGAGGGCCTAGTCAGTTGCCAGCCAAAACCACAAAAGTCCGGCTACATCCAAGGTGCTAATACCAGCCCTACTAGCATCTTAGCCGGATCTGGACCGACACGGGAGTGTTCCGTAATCACTCTGGCTAGCAGAAGGAACGAAGTACCTTGAATTGGGAAACAAGGTTCCAGCTCGATGCCCATCTGTGTCGGCCCGGACACGATCAACAAGAGATGCCCTGGATGGATTCAGCTCGTTTCCGCCCGGGTCGATATTGATCTGTTGACGAATTGCAGGAAAAATCAGCCATAGCAGACTGGGTATGCGCGATGTTCTGGCACGATTGTGCAGCCAAACATGGCCGTTGGGCGGCCCTGACAAGAGCCTCAACATCGTAAGCGCCCCATCTCAGCAACAAACGCCACAAATTGCTCAGTCTGGAAACAAGAGTTGGAACTTTCGACATGCCTGGGTACGACCATCTTTGAGCTTCATGCACGCAGCTCGTCAAGTTCCGTCTCCGTTCCGGATCAACGTCCCGGCCAAGTCAACAACTGCCGGCTAACTCTTTACCCACTCACCCACTACCCCGACCATGTGGCACTGTCCGTTCGGCGCGGCCCTGATTAGCTTATATTCACCGTATCAATCATTATACGGCCAGTCAACCGCGAAGAGACCAACAACAGCATCCACATATTATATGGTGTTCACAAGGATCCGCTGGGCTGGGTTGTAACGGTCTCGGACACCCGGCTACTTGGCCAATCCCCCGCATCCGTCTCTGATACTGTAAATACAGAATAATGCCATGATACATAGTAGATATCACGTCTTTCCATTCGTGACCCGACTTTTATATCATTTCTCTGATTGTATTTCCCCTCCTGTATAAGACAGGTGATTTGCCCTATCCGTGGCTTTAATCCCTGATTCAACGATACCCAATCTTTTTTTTATTTTTTTTTATTTTTTTGCACATCATGTCGGAAGCCGGCCCATCCAAGGAAGAAAATCCTTTCAGATCTGGGAGTGAAAGTGACCAGTCCGATTCACAAAGCAATCACAGCCAAAGCAATCACAGCCAAAGCCCAAACGACAACCAATCGTCTTCCACTGCTCCAGCCTCTGAAAAGGAATCAAAAAAGCAAAAGAACAAGGGCAACGACAAGAACGCCAAAACACACTTTAAGAAATTTTGGAAATATTACGCCATTGGAGTTGTATTGGGTCTGGCTATTTTCTTGCCTCTCTTGTTGGTCAAACTCGCCAAGCGCAAGTAGCCATTCGACTGACGGATTTCCCCCTTACCTACACAGATTCAAAGTCTTTATCCCCCTCATCATTGCACGCTTCATCAACTCTCGCAACATTCTCGTTCAGCATGCGGATGTTTTCATCAGAAACTCAAAAGAGATTGAATTCGCCGCCAATGCATCCGTCAAATCACCATTGGGTGCCAGGGTCGGCGACCTTGAGTTTACGCTGCACGACACCACCATAGCTCAGCCACCGACCGTGCTTAGCGCGGATATCAAGGGCTTCCCGATCAAAAAGGCTACAAAAATCGACATCAAACAAGGACTATTGCACGTAAACGACTCGGATGCCCTTGTCGACTGGGCAGATCGATTCATCGACAGCGAAACGATCCCGTTTGACGTGCGCGTCAAGGGCCTCGACGTCTTTCTCGGAGTCCTGCGCTACACTTTTAATCTCGAACGGCCCATCTCGATCAATGGCCTTCGCGGACTCAGCGACATTACTGTGAATGAGGTTGAGCTCATGCTGCCACCCGTCGCGAACAAGAATGTCCAGGCAAACGTTAGCCTTTCCAATCCAAGCTCCATCAGCGTGCAGGTTGGCAACGCGACAGTCGATCTGAGCGTCAACGACATTAAAATCGGCGAGGCATTCGCGTACAACATCAGCCTGGTGCCGGGCGTCACCAACGTGCACATTGACGGCCTGGTGGACATACCGACCATCGTGAGCAACCTCGGCCGCATCATCCGCGGCCAAGCGTCAGAGCTGCCGGCTGGTCATGTCAATCTCCAGATGCAAGTCACCAGCTTCACCATGCACGGGGAAAAGATTGACTTTTTGGGCGCGCTGCTCCGCAAAAGAGTGCTGATTGGCAAGGTACCGCTCGTCACGCTCATCAACGGCGCCGGAACAAGCATAATCAAGACTGGCTTGGTGGGCATGGGCATGGCAAACGGAGCAGCGACGGGCGGAACCAACTTGCTTGATGCGATAGGGGACGTGTTTTCTAATGCGACTCTGCTGAACCGGATCCAAGGGCACTGGGGGCAAAAGAGGACCCGTGAGAAATCGAAATATATTGCTTTTTAGCTACGGAACGATCTTATGACTGAAAATAACTGTTTAATTAATATCAAATATTCTTGTCAAGCTGTCTTATGAACAAACATTTTGTTGGCCGAGTTTTTCTTTTTAATGATTCTGCAGCGAACGCTTCTAGGCAAAGGCCGAAAATACACAAACTCTCGCACTCGATAATTAGGAAAGAAAATGAAATTAAGTCTTTCGACCGCAAGTTTTACACTTGATACGTCCTGCAGAGACTCTGACTCGTGCCGTGTGGATAGTCTCATGACAACTTTGGCAGCGCGCGGTTGATGTTGTCAAGAGCAAAGCCATAGCAAGATCGATGGTGAATTGAGGAGTTATTTCCGATATTTCTCGCAAAAGATGTTCCATTCCGTGATCTTCGATGTGAAAGGCAAGTCGAGAGTCAAAACGATTCACAAGAATGTGACGAAGTTCGGCGCGTCCATCCCCTTCGATAGCATATACTCCAGAGACGGACTGAAGTAGAGCCCGAAGATTCGTTTCCCAATCCACGCATTTCCTGAATTCTCTCAGAGCAAGTTCGCGAAGAGATGGAATCAGGTACTTGTCTGCCAAGGCCACCATGCCAGCATGGAACAAGACTCCGGCATATCCTTTGTGAACCACTGTCGAATTTTCGTCGGGAGCCTTGTAAGAGCCTGTATACATGAACGTGACCATCCCGACAACAATTGGATAGCTACTGTCGTTGACCTCGTAGATTTCTTCCTCTGACTCCTGGTACTTGTCAGTAAGTAATGCAGCAACGTCGGCAGAGGGCGGTACAAACTTGGTAGGGGCCTGAGAGAGCCGTCAAAAACACAGGCGAATGCGAGCAGAGAACGATTTTGTGGACACCAATTGCTTGGCCATTGCAAAGGAGCTGGAGGTCAAGAAATAACCCATCCGTCCAGTTTCTGTACAATTAGCGACGTTGCCTCGTGGGTTGTATTTCAACGTGCTGCTTACTGGTGCAGCTTCTCAGTGAAACTGTGTGGCAGAGGCATGCTGATCGATCTGAACAGACAGGTGAAGATGTAGAAGGAGAGAGAGAGAGAAAAGATCAGTGCAGCTCAGCTAACAAATTCTAAAGCCGGGTATTCACAATTCAGTAAGCACGTTTGCAATTCACTTTGAGCAGCACGAGGCCCGCACTGCTTTCACCAGCCACTTGAGAGTCCGCTCACGTGTTGCCGAACTTTTGTTTTTCCCTTTTTTTTAAGAAAGAAAAAGCCCTGAAGAGAATTCTAAAAGTCTCGAGTGGTTCATTCGAATCCAAGGCTCGTCTCGACACCCATGGCTTGTGGAATGCACACCTACCGAGATTCGTATTTTTACAGTGCCACAGAAGTTGAGCACAGGTACAAAGACCGCAATCTCCAACTCTTTCTTCTCAGACAGACCAAAGATTAGGATGGAACCAACCTTTCAGCAAACCAAACTACAAATTCTCGGCATTGCACAGTTGTGCATTGATCACCCATGTCGGCATCAGCTACGCCTGCTGAACCTTTTCACGCCCTTTCTTTATTTCCCTCCTCTTCGAATCCCTGACCATGAAGAAGTGAACAAAAAAAAATCCTTCAAGACGCATGCAAAGATCATTTAACTCCTCCATCTCTGTAGGCTTTTTTCTGTCACGTCGGCGACGACCGACTGTCAAAAGTACAAGCACAACAGTACCTACTGTATCAAAAATTGCTACTGTAATCGAGGACTGGACGCGCGATCGACAACTAAAAAAGAAGAGATATGTATATCACGGTCTCAGCGCCTATGATGGCCCGTAGCCTCGTCGCGATGCTCCAAGCATAGCAGGGGCCCGCTTGCATTTGACCTGGAAGCATTATGAGATCGTGTTTTGGCCATTGCATGGTGGTGGGAGTGAGTAGCAGGCTTGCAATCTACACCATAGAACGGCGATTGGAACTAACAGTTTCTCTCAGACCAGAAACTTTCAGCGTGCGGTCGACTGCGTAAGTTGCGGTCTATGCCACAAGCAGACTGCAGAAAATACATTCTAATAGCCACATTCCGCCAGAGCTGGATGACCGACACAATACAGTATTTAAATGATTAACTTGAAGCAAAATACTAATTTCATAAGCAGATCACAGAATCGCCTCTATTTTTTTCTTTTTCTTTGTTATTCGAATCATGAAGAGGCTCAGTTATGCTTGTTGAATCCATCCCAACTCAAGTCCGACTCTTGCGCCAATTGTTTGTAGCTCCTCTTCCTGGTCTTCGGTCACTTCGTTGTACTCGAAAGGAAGTGGCAGAATGATACGACGTAAAGAAGGATGGCGCGACAAGTTGAAGCTCGCAAGCTCGAATTTCATCGCATCTATAACAGAGTCCTCTTCTTCCCACTCCCACTCGTCTTGATCGTCCAAATCTGCCGTCAGCCGAAGCACCTCGAGGCTTGGAGGAAGGGCACGCAGGAGTCTCTTGGTTGGTGATTTCGAAAAGCCCATCAAAAAGGCCCATGGGAGACTTAAGTTTTTGAGCTTCCTCAAACGGGACAGGCCATCTAGCGATGCCTGGATTTCTAGCGGAGGAGGGTCATAATCGCCGACCGAGTAATTAGGGCGGGTCATTGCGGTAATGGTCAAGTCGGTGAGCGTGTCAGCGACCTCGCCAAGTGCCGCAGCTGCCGTGTCCAGTCGTACCACGCCTTTGCTAACGTCCTCGTCAAGATCTGGCTGGTAAGACCAGTGCCAGTGCAGCTTTTGAAGTGCCTTTAATACGGACAGGACGGGGCCTAACCGGGATTCGCGCAGCCTGTAGATATCCAGCGAGACAATTGATGGGCTCGGCGCATGCGAAGCGGGCCAGGTAAATTCGGCTGGGTTATCGATAGATACTGATAAATCCTCGATGCTCGGAAGATAGAACAAGGGTAGAATATCGGCCGCGTTGCAGATGTCAGTATAAAAGTATTCTTTGGCCCTAAACTTGGACGTGACGTGGCGTAGGCTTTTGTATGCAGGAAGAGTCTTTTGCGGCTTGCAAAGAGCACATTGAAGCATGCCTCCCCAGAGTCTACTCCGAATCGTAAAGTTGGGCCCGAGAAAGAGAGACGTTAACTTAGGCAGCATTGCGAGGAGCAGTGCCACGATGGCATCGACGGTGCCAGATTGCAACTCGTGTATCCAAAGATCGGCAAACGGTACTTTGGTAGATTGTATAATCTTTGCCGCCTTGCTGAGTAGAGACGCGTCGATAGGGAATGCGGGCAGCTCCCTGAGCTCGGGTCTACCTGGTACTCCATTTCCCTCGAGACGCAGGTCGTGAACGTGGCCTGACAGCTCGGGACGCTCGACGAGGCTTCTCAGTAGTAGGACGACGGGCGGCGTGCGGCCCAAAGCCCAGGTTGTCTCGATAGTCGAGTAAACAAGGGGTATGGATACAGCGTAGATGGATTTGCAGACTTTAATCATGGAGAGCAGGTCGGTCAAGGGTAGCAGATTCAAAAAAGACAAGAGCAGCTCATTCGGCCAGTCTTTGAGCGGCGTCACCGCCATCCTTTCACGTCCTGTGTCGGAACAGGAGAGTCTGTTTAGAGCTGCTTGACTTGGTTGGGCTACTAGGTATAAGATTCAAGGGATTGATAAAGATTGAGGGGGAGTTGCGAGACAAAGAGAGGCCGCCGACGGACCGTTCCCGGGTGAGATGAGAGTTGAAGAGCGACAAGTCAATACAGAGGCGCCCTTTGGGAGGCCTATGTGTTCTAGATGTGAGTACTATCGCAGGAGCAACATTAAACAATTTACCGGGGCAACTCTAACATGGGCATCAATTGCATGACAGGCGACACGCAGAAGCCAAGCCTTTCGGGTTAGTTACGGAGAAGATTGCCAAGTTTGGGCAGAAAGAAAACAGACTGGGGCGTCTGCGGGGCCATGGCACATTACCCCTGGCAATCATTCCAGAGTCGGCCTAGATTAGATGGAACTCAGAAAACCCGGCAACCCCACTAACTAGGGTTTCCCCCCCCTATGATATTTTCAAGTTAGTACACAGACATATTCGTAGAGGTGCCGCAAGGCTCAGACGAGCCTTTCGGCGTAATATACCTATATTTAGGTATATATATACATATAAACTCCACTGCACGACTGAAATGCCTTTACTGGTACTAGCAATCACGTGTCCCGGCACATTTCGGCAACATGCGAGTGCTGTCGAGTCAGACGGTTTCAATTGCCATGACACCACGAGCTGTAATAAGGGTTATAACCCACCACATATTGATCGAGCAACGAGGAAGATTTTTCATGCAAACCAGAAATGGTTAGACAATGAGGGTTCTGCAAGCAAAGTCTTTTATTCTTTAATAGTTTGCTGTTCTTGTAACGATTAGATGTGATAATATCTATTGTCATTTTGTAAACACTATTGGACACACCACAACTGGTCATGGCTGACCAAATTGACTAGTTGACGTTGGTTGGCGCTTAGTGTGGCGTTTAAAACGGTAAATCTCACACCCGTCGGGATGTCGTCGGGATATTCTGTGCTCCAACGAGATGAGGATGTTGCCCAGACAAATCAATTTCGGGCCGTCGGCGCAGCTCCGGAGCTTACGCCACAATAAAGACCCACTTTTGATTGACACTGCCGTTGAACATATGTAGATATATATGCCGGGCGTCCTATGTATGTTATCCAAATGCATAAATGCTGAGCCTTGCTAAGCCATGATGAACTACAGTTAGTCTAGCTTTACTTGAAACAAGCGCGATTATACGGGTCCAGTGGAAAATCAAAACTACAGAAATCGCCTATCACAGCTAGAAAGTGAATATAGCCAAGCATATTAGTTCTTCCAAGGTTAAAGAAACTAAACAACTATGTAGCAAGTACAAGTCCTACATCAACGACGCAACCCAGAATGGATACATGATGACCATAGAAGGGGCGATAATCTAGGCCCGGAAATAGCGACGTGACTCGTGTCTCCCAGGCATCTCACCCGGCAGCCGCCGTCCGGCGCTGGACGCAACCTTGCCGGCATCTCTTGGTTCATCGTCGTCGCCCGACTTTTCACCGTCCTGATCAGGGGCCCTTGACCTGTGGTGTGGCCTCGGCGGCCGCGGTTTGCGGTGGGGCGGAGCTTTCTTCTTCTCTCCACTGCCGTCGTCTCCTTTGTCTCCATCGTCGCCCGAGTCTCCCGACTCCACCGGGGTGGAGGTGGAGGGCCTCTGCTTTGGCGGCCTGGGGGCCAAGTTGTTAGGAGGAGGTCCCGGTTTCTTGCTGCCGCCATTGGCTTTCTTGTCCTCTGCTTCTCCGTCGTCTCCCGTGTCTACCGGGGTCGACGCAGCTGCCTTTGGCGGCCGGGGAGGCAGGTTGTTAGGAGGAGGTCCCTGTTTCTTGCTGCCTCCATTGTTGACTTTTTCGTCGTCCTCTGCTTCTCCATCGTCTCCAGTTTCTGCCGGGGTGGACGGCCTTTGCTTATTATTAGGTCTGGGGGGCAAGTTGTTGGGAGGCGGCCCTTTTGGCTTATTCTTGCCAGGCTTGTCTGCGGGATTTGACCCATTGCCCTCTTCAAACTTGGTTTTGATGCTCTTGAGTTTTCCCTCCTTCCTCAGCTTCTTGTAATCGAAATCTGCCATTTCCGGATCCGCCGCAACCTTGTCGTTATCCAATACATTGAGGTCTTTGACCAGCCTGTTGCAACCCCAATTATCCTGAATTCTCGGTCAGTATTCTGTTCCTTGAGATGTATCCTTTCATTCAAGGGAAACGTACGCCGCTACCACAGGGGGCCAGAATTTCAGGTTGCGCTGTTGCCAGATCAGCATCCCGCGGAAAGGCAATGGCCACAATTCGAGCGCCGCTATCCTTGCCCAATTTCTTTGGATCGACACGACTCTCATAGTATTCGTGGAAAGCCATCACCTCACCACACCTTCCGTTGTTCTTGTGCTTGTTTCCCGAATCTTTGCCGCACTCGGCGAGGTCATCCTGTACCTGACCGTCTTCCCTGATGGGGTCGTTTGAGCCTTTTGCCGACGACGCAAATATCATTTCTTTGCCAACGAGGAGCGTCGTCATGACATTTGGAATCTTCTTCTTTCCAAGCTTGTTTTCATCAACCATGTGTCTCATCTCCTTGAACGCATCAATGGCAATCTTCAAGAACTGTCTATCCGATATCTTTGGCTCTTCATCGAATTCGAGATGGCTAGCGTAGACAACGGACTGCTGCTTGGCAAACAGCTCACGTTCAAGTCGAACTTGAAGACCATCCTGGGGAATTTCCGGCTCCACCTTTGGCAGCTGCGCAACCAAGACTTGGCCAAAGGCCAAGAGGATAGTGAGGTAGCACCATAGAAAACGGGTTACCTTGGGCAACTCCATGACTTCAGAGGGAGTTACGCAAGACTCGTTTCAAGAAAGTAACAAGAAACTAGAGATGTAGTTAGTCATCAATCTTTTGAATGGCTAAGATAGTACTTACAAAAGTTTCTAGGTCAAATCAGACGCAAACTTGTTGTCGCTGCTTCACAAAGAGTGTAGCAGTCTAAAGGCCAAGCGTGAGTTTCCGAAATTCAGGCAAACACAGGACTACAAATACTCATATTTCGGCTACTGATTCTATTCATAACTGCAACTTGTCCAATTTTCCCGAGCCGGTCTCTTGCCAGACCCGCCGATGAATTTCAGTTTATCATGCCCATGTTGGGCAGCGTGTCAGGCAAGAAAACATGGTAGCTCAAGCTACATTGGCTTCTAGACTTTCGTATTACAGTGAAATATAACTCTAATACTTGCCTATAACTTGCGTACGCAACTCGGCTAAATGCGAGAATACTGGCAAGGTGTATGGATATGATCGCTAGTTTATAGCTGGGGCGATAAGACAATGGCGTTATAGTCGCGCATGATGGATCACGGCAATACTGGTAGTTGTTTCCTTTCATCAGACCATAAGAAAAAGTCGTGTCATTAGCCTGTATATAGCAATACCATCTATTATTTTGTCCGGGGGCTGAGCATCATGCCTAGCTGCTGACATGCCGAATAACATGACTAGCAGCATGTTTATGCTATTTTATCTGTTCGTTGAACAGAATGACTCGGGTATTCAGACTGAATACCGTCAAAGTATCGGCTGATGAGCACCTTGATTGTCTGAATGTATAGTCATCTAGTGATTCAGGTAATATAGGTAATCTTGGTCCCAATGCAAGTGGTGGACCCGGCAGTGTGGTTTGCGAGAAAGATGACCGTTGTGCTTCCACGGCGTAATGGCGATGCCGCAGACTGAGCTCGTAACCACAAAGCATCCTGAGGCAACATGATGCTGTTGATTCTCGAGCAGAAGACGTACAGTTGGACAAGTATTTATACCCGAGCTTCTCGCCTTGGAAATTTTCAAAAATCCTCAAAGCAACCACTATTCGATACAGACAAATCCACTGCTCTGTTTTCGAGTCTTCTTCTTTATACTCATAAGTTCTCATCATCTACTTTCATAACCGCTCTCGGAGCCGTCTACATCAACCATGGTCAACATGATGCTCTGGACAACGCTGTCCTTCTCTGCCGTCGTTGCACACGGCTCCATCATTCCCCGACAGAACGCGGGCGGCCTGAACTGGGCTGCACTTATCCGCAACGCGCCAGAGGTTCAACGCCATCAGAAGAGTATCCAGCGAGCCCTGAACAAGGGTCTTCCGTACTCGGAGGGCCTGCTGGAAGCCTCTGATAATCTCGTCAAGTTGGATGGCTTGAGTGACAAAGAGCGCAAGTGCATGTATCTGCGCAACAATATCAAAGAAGATGGATTCCAATCATATATGGATATCAACCCACATCCTGATGCCCCTGACCAGATTACCGGACCCGTGGAAAAGAAGATTGAAATCACTACGTCTACGGCAGTGGTTGATGTTTCGAGACTGGGATGGAACAAGGAGGTGGCGACGGAAATCGGCGGCTCGGCCACGGCTGAAGCGTCAGGCGGAATTGGCGTCTTCTCGGCCTCTCTCTCGGCGACCGTCTACGGCAATCAGCGTACATCTGGTGGCCAAAACGGCGAAGCCTCCAAGCAGACCGAGTTTAGACAGGACGTCCGAAGAGAGGAAGTTTGCCCCCCAAACAGCATCTGCCGAATCATGACCTGGACGTACACCAGGACCATCAAGGGAAAATGCTTCCTGACGCCTTACTTTGACGAAAAGTGCTATACTGGTGACAAGAGAAAGGGAAAGTACAGTCTTGGGCTTTTCCCCAGCTGTCCGCCCCTGGAAGGCGTTGCCACTCAGTTTTTCGACTTTAACTACGACAATTACAAGTCTGCGGCTGGATTCGGCCCCGAGAACCAGGGCGTCAAGATGCACAAGCCGGCAATGATCAAGGCCAACAAGTACGACGAAGACTGCACCTTTACGTACGCGCTGCGGGACGAGAATGGAATCCCCGTCAAAGCCTCGGCCAACATTATCGAGACGGATACCGACTCTGCAAAAAAATCTGCCGTCACCAAGACTCCCAAAGCCGTGGGCTGGTTCACCGACGAAAAGGACGTGAGATCCTGCGAGCTCGAGGACGGATGGTTCATGCAGGCCAACAATGCGTACTACATTCCCACCGAGGCGGGCGGGCAGGGCATTTGGGAGTACCGCGACGACTTGCCCCAGCCCGAGGGCCTCGAGGAAAAGTGCCCGCAGCACTCGTCGCTTTCCAAGAGAGCCGTGACCGGCCGCGACAAGAAGGGCCCGCCTCCCAACAATCTCTTCAAGGTTGTCATTATTGACGACGGCGTGCCTGAATTTTTGGAGAAGCTGAACAGCAACAGCAACGAGGGCTACGCGGCGAATACCATCTTGGACGGCGAACTGGAGGTTGAGGACCCGGGCTACATTATCAAAGACGGCCCCGGTGAGCCTGAGCCTGAGCCCTCTGCCCAGTTCTGCGTGGCTCAGCTCAACAAATAATAAAAAAAAAAGAAGAAGAAGAAAAGCAAAGAGCAAAGCATGGCTATTTCAAAGTCCCAAGACTTTTCCGTTTTTTGCAACTATCAAGCCCAACTAGTGGTTTAGAAAAAAAAAAAAAGAGGTGGGTGAAGAAAAGGGGGGGTTTTGTAACTTGAAAGTCTAAAGAGCTACTTGGTTTCCTAACTTGAAAGTCTAGAGAGCTACTTGGTTTCTAATTAGAGTTTTAGATTCATCTATTGCCAATTATTAAAATCGTCGAGTCTTTATTTCTACTTTCATCGGACGTCCCAATATGATAGAGCCAGCAGGCAAAGGAGATGACTTCCAAATAGTAACCAACAGACAAACTTTTACTTTGAAAAGTTGGACAGCCAGTTGTCGTCATGGACCCCTGTGTCGGATAACGCCTGCCTCTGTTGGGTGAATACGAAGTGTGTGCTGTGTGATAAGGGGGTTGGTTATATAGGCGATACAGCAGTGTGGGCATCCTCGGTTAAGGTGAAGCCTCGCTCGCTACTCCTCGCCACAAAAGTGTGAGAATCTCGTGTCAATCTGTGAATACAAAGTTGACAAAATGTATTTATAATTTACCCTTTCCTTTTTTTCTAGTCATCGTCAGCAAGTCTCACCATGACCGAAAAGCTAGAAAAGCCGACACCAAAACCGCATTCCAGCTTCACCGTTTCATCGGGATGCCTCTGCTACGGACACCTGCACAACATGTGCCATGGCCTGACCCTGCCCCCGCAGCCGTTCCCCAATGCTGTAGAATGGAACATGGATGGCACCGTCCAGTCGCAAATAGTGCACTATAATATTACCGCCTTGAACGGGACCTGGCATGCCTACGAGCTTGTAGACTCGCGGTCAGGGGAGCGTACAGCCTGGCTCGTGTGCCACGACAGTGTCAGCCCCGAGACGGAAGTCGACAAGATATTGCGGGTGTCAGGCTCACCTTATGAATTCGATAGCGGGAGCCAGTGGCATAGCGACGAGACTGTGGAAGAGGGCGTGCTCCCCATCAATCGCTACGACTGGGGTTACTATGACGAGCGGTGCAAGGACGAAGCATCAGACGACTCGGACGGGTCTGATCATCTTTTTTCTGGGGAAGAGGAGGGGGAGAGTCTCGGGCTCGTCGATTATGCTCATGCCAGGGACTACATTGGCTTGTGGAAGGATGTGCCCCCATCGCAGCGAGAGTCTCAAGCCCACGGCCTCTGGATGAAGGTCACGGGAGAGTACATGTTTGGCCGGTTCGGATTTACCGACGACCACCAAGCCGCACGGTCCTTTTTCTGGTTCACTACATGCACAGAGTTTGCTTTTACAACGTTTGCTGGCCTAGAGACTACGCTGCGGGTGTTTGAGAGCGACCAGGATCGAATGAGTCGATTGCTGCGAGAGGGCTTCAACATGGATGGGCTGGAACTGGTCCAGAGCGAGCTCCAAGAGCATCAACAGTCTGGCACGGTCCCTCCAGATGATGGGTTGCGTGGGCCGTACGAGGCCGCAGACTATATTCTCGATGCGCAGGATGCAGACCTCATAGCTTCTAGAGCCCATGCTCCTCCACTGAATCCTGCTGACGAGCCCATGCCGCATCTTTCTGCCTACTGGAGAAGCGCCTGCCTAGAAGTAATCAACGAGGCCCTGCTGAGCTACCTCGATTCACTAGTCACCTTGGCGAGCCACAGCAGCAGCGCCGATGATGACACCGTCAGCAAAGAGTCCATCGCAGCCTCACTATTTCCCAAGCATCACGACGAAGAAAACACGGTCGACAAATGGATGTATACGGCCATTATGGATCCTCGATCCAGTCCGTCCGTCATTACCAGTAGAGAGGCCTTTGCGGACAAGATTTCGGCTTTTCTCCACTCCAGAAGCGACGGTCGTGACCTCGGCATGTTGAGGGTCGAGGGGTTTATCCAAGGGCTGGCGGCGGCCGTGGAGTTTCTATGTGGCGAGATGCTAGAATTGGCTGGCAACAGCGCCATGGATCATTGTCGTAATGGCGCCATCGTACCGCTCGACATTCGACTAAGCATTCGCAACGACGAAGAACTGATGGCAATGGTCGGATGCTCGAGAGTGTACTGGATGGGCGGTACGCGGGGGTGGGTTGATGCCGCCTCAGAGGTTTAAACAGGGGGGGGGCAAAGCAGATACACGTGGTTGCGTGCCCCTAGAGTACAGTCAACTTGCTGAAATAATATACTATTCCGCTATAGACAAGCTATCAAGTTACTGCCTCGTTAGATAGTATGAATATAAAATACATTAGACTTGATTCTGCTGGTAGCAAATCAAACCGTTTTTCAGACAGATTCAGTCTCATATGGCGCGAGAAGTAGACGTAAATGCAAGTTGTGTGCGAAATTTATACATGAATTTTTGGTCCAAGGCGGGGGAGGGAAACAAGTCACGAGAAAAATGTTCAACATCTAACAGAGAGGTTATAATACACTGCACGACACCTTCTTCTTCTTCTTCTTCTTCTTCTTCTTCTTTCATGACATACAAGTACAAGCGACCAACTCTTCACCACTCCTGGACCTCATCGCCCTTGCCCGCTTTTTGCATGCGAATGACCTTGTCCGTGTTGAGCAAACACAGCGGATCAAGCGCCTTTTTAATCTGCCGCATCGTGTCCACCGTCGTCACGCCGAGCTCATGCTCCAGGTAATCCCGCTTGACCAGGCCAACACCGTGTTCGCCCTGTGTATATAGGTATCATCATTATTAGCTTTCTTTTTCTTTTTTTTCCGGAGCAACGACACGCAAAGGCGGCAAATTCTATGTTTCGTGTGCCAAAGC